TTTTGTTTTTTTTTTTTTTTTTTTTTTTTTTTTTTTTTTTTTTTTTTTTTTTTTTTTTTTTTTTTTTTTTTTTTAGTCTTTTTTTTCTTTTTTTCTTGTTGGATAACTTATATATTTTTTTTTGTTTTTTTTTTTTTTTTATTTTGATCTTTTTAATTTTTAGATTCTATTTTGATTTTTCTACTTTCCATTTGCACATCCAAGGTACCGTGCAACATCCCCAGGACCATACTACCAATGAGCCCGGGGACATAGCCAGAGATTTGGACGCCCTCGCTTACCAGATCCTACGCCCGATTCTTAAGCTCTGGTCTGCTATTTTCCGCTTACCCGCAGTTACCACCGAGTCCAACGGTCTATAGAGAAGGTATTAAGGGTTTAATGAAAAGGCAACCCGCCGTTCATGGCCTGATATCGGAAATCACCAAGAGACCATCCAATAGTGGACCCAAATAGCGATCAATTTAGTTGGAGTTACCACAATTTGCCCCCATTGGGCAGGTGTTCTACGAACTAAATCCCCACATGATCCGAATTCATACCGTGTACATGCTAGACCAGAGTAACGGCTACACGAAGCGAGTCCATCATTTCTCCATAGGCTGTCGATGGCACGGGTGTGACCTTACCAGTACGAAAACGAGGACGGACTATGCCCAAAGAGATTTGGCCAAAAGTAACACCAAATGTACATAGAAAACGCCATTCATCAAAGCTGGCACCAATCCAGTGTCGATGTGGTACTCGGACGTCTCACGGAAGCTTTGCGGGGTTCTTGAATTGCTCGACCAGGCAAATTCCGCATGGAGTCTAGTTGATTGTTGATTGATACAGCATTAGTGTCGAACGCTAATATAGTGGGGTGAGCCAAGCTTCCCTCTTGCCGCGGTGATTCGATGGCCGGCTAATACTGCCCATGCAGAACGGGAAATCCGCAGCCAACCGTCAGTGAGTGGAGAACCACCAAGTGCCCCGTGCGACCCCGACAGACTTTGCGCCAAGATGTGATAGCATCTTAATTAGTATCATTTAGCCGCCCGTCTTCTGGACAATCCGCCATAATTCCTCCCTCTGAAGCGCTTTTACTATTAATATCGCTCCCCGTCAAGGTGCCATAATTAGCTCTGTTCGGCGCCAACTAATCCTAATTCTTCCCATCCCGTGCATTGGCCGCTAACCTTGCGTTCCCATGATCCTTTTCCCCTCATTCAGCAGGATCTGGCAGCCACCGGATTTTCCCCACTCGGGATGATTCGACCTGGAAGCTCACATTAGCTTTGGTTAATTCTGCACCTTCGATCCTCCAGTCACACTTGTCACGCCGGCAACAAATCCGCCTTAATTCTCGGACACCATTGACTCATGTGCGCGATGTTGACGATATCTATTCTGTTCGCGAGCCATCCGTGGTTACTTGTTGCCTCACAGGATTTGGTTATCTTTTTCTTTGATTTTTTTTTTTTTTTTTTTTTTTTTTGTTTTTTTTTTTTTTTTTTTTTTTTTTTTCAATTTGATTTCTCTAGTATAGGACAAAGATCTCCAGTCATCTCTGCAACGTGACCCTGGCGACCCTAAATGCGGACAGGGTGCTGACAAGGCTGGAAGTCGTCACAACGCTTCTGCCGGACCTTATCACATTCCTGCAGCTGCACGCTAACAATTAGTATTCATTTAGTAGCCGTAATTAAACGGTTCACCAATCACATTCTCCGAATGTGAGGTCAATCTGCAGACACCCTGGTCAAGAAGCACAAGCAGAAACTGTGATATGGATGTGCATAGTGACATGCCACAATTTACAACAGCGGTGGAGTTCGAGTCACTTTCGTGGCTATTTTCGAGATCTCAATGTGAGTGAAGACACCATTTTCAATAGTTCGTTTCTTCTTCTTTGTCTCTTTTGTTTTCTCCTCACTCGCATTATTCGTTTCCAGTCTGTAACTAAATCCTGGAACACGGCCGAGGGAAGCTATGCAGCCGTCACTGAATAATGCACAAAACTACAATTGTATGCATGTTTGTAGCTCGGTAGCACATGTAATATACTGTACATAGTCCTACTCTTGCATAGAAAGAAGATATTGCCGGCGTGATGGGCACACACGCCATCGCGTCTACTGCCTGTAGTGCACACCCGCCAGACAACGTCCGAGCGAGCCTAATTACTTGCCTTGGGCTTGTCCATGACAAATTATGAGTCTACTTATTAATAGAAATTACCAGTTCTCCGAGAATGGCGATTTAGTGTTCGTCTATCGGGTCTAACATGCGGGGTCGATCAATAACGGACGGCACCGTAACGCTGTGCTCCAGTCCACCGGAGATCTCAACGCAGGTATTTTTATCTCAATCGAGTGCAGGTACAGCGCAATCAGAATGGGGCATTTCAATTGCAACCGCCGGATCCCACGGCGCTTGTTTGACGGCTGGTTCCTGTCCATCATGTCACGTCGCAGCCCGGCGTATCGATCAGCGTGATCCAGGAAACAGATCCATGTTCTTAGAGAGTAACGCAAGCAGGCAAGGTCCATGTCCAACAGGGACTGCATGGCATCTGCCTAGATCTAGCCGCTGAACCTGTTCGACGAGATTCACCTTTGCCCATGCAGAGTGAGCACGGCGAAACGATTCCTGTGCTTGTAGGCGGCTATTGATTGAGTCACATTGAACCATTGAAAGCGGCTGAGCCGCTACCTTATCTCCGTAGACCCGTAGCTAGATTCCATACACTGGTCGTTTCAAGTACATGGTTTATTGGCTCTAGTTGACTGTGTTCTAGATGCCTGTGCAGTGTTGAGCGTCACTGCGGCTCTAGGTCTAGCCACCGTTCCCAGAATAGCGGCGCTTACAGTGCCCAACTCAGATTAAGTTCTCGAATAGGGCTTCTGGAATAGTTTGTTTCATGCTCTTTGAGCGAGTACCGGACCATTGGATAGGAGGTCATGTTGAGCGTCGTTTCTGAAGCAATAGTATGAATCCACTTTCATCGCCTTAGCATACCAACTTGGCGTACTAAATAAGGAAATTGTGTGGTTGAGCCATAAGCCCATGAATAGGTGGCTTTTGAATGAAACCTTTACTTCTAAAATTAATGTGGGACGTATTGCCCAGGTTTTTGTTGGGATATTGCATGCTGCCGTGGACATGTCGGTGTATAGTGCCATCATCACATTTCAGCAAACTGCGCTCAACAAATCTGCAACGCTGCGGGTATAATGCGTGGCTTGAGGCATACTCAAAGGGTAGTGTTGGGAGTACACGAAGCTAGACTGATATTGTTCATGCTTGGTGATTGAGGTGCAGACATGTTACTTCCCATAAGTTGAGCAGGACACTACCTGAGTAGTATAGTCATGCTACCCTTGATAAGTAAGTGCAGCCTCGTTTCTTAGAGTCAACTAATGGCTTCCATTGCATCGTTGCCCCGGCACAACATAAGAGTTCATGAGAACAATTGACTACCACGATAACGGAATCATTGTGCAATTTTCTAACCCCCTGTCTTGTATAGCGCATATCGGTGCACTGTTAAAGATACAAAGCATTGTGCGGTGGACTTGCCTTCGAGTCTGTACGTTACCTTGTGTTGACTTGATGATATTGTGTCACGGTGGCTGACAGGGCGCCAGGCTCATGGCACATAGCTATATAAGGTGCAGACGATATCAGACCTAGGGTCTGGGTATTGTGATCTTTTGGTTTAGTTGGGAATGGACTCGTCTAGACATCCGTTCTTAAATTTTGAGAAGCACTTGGGTTGCCATGGAATACTTATTAGTTACACAGTTTGGCTCAGTGGATAATTCTTTTGGTAATTCTGGGAGTACTAATAAGGTGTCTATCCTCGAGTTAGGACGTGTGGCACTTTTAATCTTGAAGATTCTGCGGTTAAATTACAGTTAGGGCTATACTCTTGTGATATCTTGACCGGGATTTTGAAATACTTGAGAGCTCATAAATGACTGTATAGACGTAGGAGGAATAGTAATTTTCTAGATATATAGTACAGCTTCCAAATAGAAGCTGTCAACATATCTATCGCACCAACCAAAATAAAATAAAAAAAAGAAAAAGAAAAAGAAAAATGGAGGGGGGGATGAAGTTCAATAATAACCTGAACAGAAAATATATATTCATAATTCTACCTTGAGGCGAATGCGCGGAGCATAAATGAAGTCACTGTGATAATCATTGACTGATTTGTAGAGCTCAGGGTCAATATATTGATCTACTGAAAAGAGGTTTGTTTGTATAATCCCCTGCTACGACTATTTACTATTTCCCTTGTTTTGATGTTGAGGTGTAAATGGTGCCGCGCTGATTGGCCGTGCAACACAAGAAGACCCAGGGATCCACTGATCTGTCGGGCCCAACTGGAATAGCTTCAGCCCGCTACTCCGCCGTGTTGGACAATAAATTCGCTTTTTTCTTTTCGATCACGAAGTTCCCTCAGTTTAAAATGCAAAACGGCCTAAGATGTTACGCCTACCAATGAGAAATACAGTTTTGCATAGCTTTCCCCGGTTATCGACAGCGTCGTCTTCCTCGCTCTTCCGTCGCATTCCACCTTCTACCTCGAAGTCCACGCCGCTCCCTCTTCCTCGATCCATCTCGACATGCCTCTTCCCCCGTAGCCGTCCCGGTTACTCAACGCCCTTCTCTCAGACCCTCCAACGCCCATCCAGTTCGTTCCGTGGCCGACCATTCTCTACCTCCACAAAGCGAGGGTACCAGTATGGAGGAAACCAGTATCGGCGATTCAATGACCCGAGACGCGAGCCGCTCTTTATTCGCTTGATCAAGGATGCCAAACCACACCACTTTGTCATAATAGGGCTGGGAATTAGTGGATTCTACATATATAACACCGACACGGTAGAGGTGCGTCTCCGATTGTTGATGCCATGCGACCGACAGCTGCACCAGTGGAGTCGGCATCGCACAGGACGCAAAAATGGCCGACACGTTGTTTTGTACCGGTACTGATACCTCTCGCCTAGATGACTGGTCGTCGACGGTTCAACTGCGTCTCCGCGCAACGGGAACTCGAGATGGGTAGACAGAGCTATCAGGAAGTCTTGAACGAAAACCGTGGAAGCATTCTGCCCGAGTATCACCCGCTTACCATACAGGTGGATCGTGTTCTTCAGCGCTTGATCCCGCAGGCGCCGATAGAAGGCGCGGACTGGAAGGTCCATGTCATAAAGGACGACAGCATGCTGAACGCCTTTGTTCTTCCTGGGTGGGGACCTCCTGCTTTGCTATCTCTTACATCGTACTTGCTGTGCATATACTAAACGAAAGCTCAGTGGAAAAGTGTTTGTCTATACCGGTATCTTGCCTATATGCAAAGATGAGGACGGCTTAGCAGCCGTGCTAGGACATGAGATTGCCCATGTGGTGGCCCATCACCCGGCGGAGCGCATGAGCAATAGCTTTATTACCATGGGAGCTGCCTTCCTGGTCTCACTGCTGTTTGATATCTCTGGCCAACTTCCTTCATTGCTTATGAACCTTGCCTATAGCCTTCCAAACTCACGAACCCAGGAGGTAAGTCCTAGCATAGCCATCAGATGGAAACTCACTCAACTAATCACCGAATAGGCTGAGGCAGATGAGATCGGGTTAAGTATGTTCGTTGTTCTACCGGTGGTTACATAGCTAATGCGTAGTAGTGATGATGGCGAAAGCATGTTTCAACCACGAGGCCGCAGTCGAATTGTGAGTTACAAGTAGTCCTCCAGATTTACGAGTCCTATGCAATCAATACCATTGCTTGTATTGATAAACTAACAACCTCTCAGATGGGCACGCATGCAGGAAGCTGAGAAGGGAGCACCACCACAATTTCTGTCAACGCATCCCTCGGTAAGCATTCACTGGAGCTAGAGCTGATCTTTCGAGCATTTGCTGATGTGATGAAAGAGTTATAACCGTATGGAGGCGATCCGTGGATGGTAAGGGTGCCGTAAGTACTATTACGACTGGAATGTTCTAACTCGACGCTAGGTCCATCAAAGCGGAAGCAGCATATGAAGATAGTGGGTGTCATGCCATTGGAGGCTTCAGTAAGATCCTATCCTCTTCATTGTACGGTGCAGAATGGCTAATGATATTCTGATGTTAAGTGCCAGGATTCCGACAAGCTGCTTATCATGACCGCTGGTGACAGCTCTTATGTAGGTGGATGTGGATGCCTCAGTCCCAGGTAATCTTTTTTGTAAATTAGTAGGACGCAAGACCCTGTATAATGAATATAACGACCAATTCCCATCTCCAACCATTGTATGCAATGTATCACAACATTAGTCAGGGTCCCAAAAGGGAAATGCCCTAGGGGAGCCCCTCCGCGTGCAAACCAAACAAACATCCGCCGCCAGACCGTCTCCAAGCTCTCCGTCAAAAATTCCCAGAGACAGCTTCAGGACAGCGTTGTGGCTGATCTAATTATCATCTTCCTCTTTCTTTAGGTGCATAACTTGAGAGGAAGTCTTTTGTCATTATGTCGTTGTCTATGCCTGGTCCCTCCCAGGCCGGGCTTTTCAAGCCTGGCTATCAGAGGTAAGCGAAGCCCACTTGTGGAATGTTCCGCCCGATATCCTCTGAAAGCAAGACTCCAGTCGGGGAACTTGAGGGGAGTCAGCCTGGGTCGTACGTTGCGAGATAGCTAATTCTGGAATCTGCAGCCACGATGCCGAAGATGGCGCCGTTATTCGTAACATCGAAGCCTGCCAGGCTATCTCGCAGACCGTCCAAACGTCGCTTGGTCCTTATGGCCGCAACAAGATCGTCATCAACCACCTGCAGAAGATGGTTCTTACTTCCGATGCCGCTACCATTCTGCGGGAGCTGGATGTCGTACATCCTGCCGCCAAGCTACTTGTCATGGCCAGTCAGCAGCAGGACGTGGAGATGGGTGACGGTACCAACCTGGTCATCATTCTGGCCGGAGAACTGTTGAAGAAGGCTGAGGAATTGCTCCGTTTGGGATTGAAGACAAGCGACATCGTCCAGGGTTATGAGAAGGCACAGAACTTTGCCCTCAAGGTGCTAGAAGGTGGGTGTGTCCGCGTCTCCGATGGCTCATCGCTCTCTCAGGGGCTAGCGTTGGTTGCGGCCTCCTTTTGAAGTTAAAATACTGATCGATTGTCGCATGCGCAGACCTCGAAGTCGATCGCCTGAAGGAACTGCGCTCTCAGGAAGAGCTCAGCAAGGCTCTTCGTACAGTCGTCGCTAGCAAGCAGTCCGGAACCGAGGATATCTTGGCCGCGTTGGTTGCAGAAGCCGTGCTCGCCGTCCTGCCTAAGAACCCCGTTAATTTCAACGTCGACAACGTTCGTGTGGTGAAGATCATGGGTGGTAGCTTGGAACAGTCTCGTGTGGTGAAGGGAATGGTCCTTGGCAGAGAACCCGATGGCACCGTCAAGAAGGCTTCCAAGGCCAAGGTCGGCGTGTTCAGCTGCCCCATCGACATCTCTCAAACCGAAACCAAGGGCACTGTGCTGTTGAAGAGCGCGGATGAGATGCTCAACTTCACCAAGGGTGAGGAGGAACGCCTCGAGACCGCCATCAAGGAGCTCTATGACTCCGGTGTTCGCGTCGTTGTGGCCGGCTCCTCCGTGGGTGACCTGGCCATGCACTACCTCAACCGCTTCAACATCCTCGTGATCAAGATCCTCTCCAAGTTCGAACTCCGCAGGCTTTGCCGTGTTGTCGGCGCTACTCCCCTTGCCCGTCTGGGAGCCCCTATGCCCGACGAAATGGGTAGCATTGATGTCGTTGAGACTACCGAAATCGGCGGTGATCGTGTGACTGTCTTCCGTCAAGAGGAGGCCAACGCCGTGACCCGCACAGCTACCATCGTTTTGCGTGGAGCGACACAAAACCACCTGGATGATGTCGAACGTGCCATCGACGATGGTGTGAACGCGGTCAAGGCCATCACCAAGGACCCCCGTCTGGTTCCCGGCGCAGGCGCTACTGAAATCCAGCTCGTGGAGAAGATTTCTGCATTCGCCGATCGGACCCCAGGATTGCCTCAGCATGCCATTCGTAAGTACGCCGAGGCTTTCGAGGTCATCCCCCGCACCCTTGCGGAGTCTGCTGGTCTCGATGCCACCGAGGTTCTTTCTCGTCTGTACACAGCCCACCATCGCACCAGCACTGGTGCCGAAGCTTCGTCAGAAGAGGAGTCGGGGAGCTCTGAGGAAGAGGAGCCATACTGGACCACCGGTGTTGATCTGGAATCGTCTACCTCGGCCGGTACTCTGGACACCGTTGAGGAGGGTATTCTCGACCTGTTGGCTTCCAAGAGCTGGGCTATTCGCCTGGCCAGTGAGTCCGCGCGGACAGTCCTCAGTGTCGACCAGATCATCGTTGCCCGTCAAGCCGGTGGTCCCAAGCCGCCAGGCCCCAACGCCAACTGGGATGAGGATTAAACATGAAGCATTACATATTTAATTGGGGGTTAAAATAGGAATGTGATAGATACGATATCATGAAAAGTCCATTGATCAAGGATTTGACATAAGCGTGTTGTGAGTAGAGGTAATACTGGCTACTATGTATAATTCACGTTTGACTATATTATTCCTATCATCCGTAGTACGAATTGTAATTATGTTACTGCCAGTGTACTTGCAACGTGTTGACCAGAAGCTGTTGCGGTTGATGTTGACTGCTGAAGCGTTCCGGCGCATCGGAGGGCGGCTCACGTGACCGAGACCTGGATTTTCCGGACCGAAACTTGACTTTCTTTTTCAGTTCAAGACTTTCGGATAGCTCTCTGGTTCGGTTTGATTGAGCAGCGCCTGATTCTCTCCATCTCCTCTACGCTCGTCCGTCTTCTCTCCGGTCACATCCCTTCACAGCCATCATGTCCATTTCTTCGCAGGTCGCCGCCCGCTGCTGCAGGCAGATCGTCCGCCCATCCGCCGCTTCGTTGCGCCTCTCTTCCTCGACATATCTGTCTCAGCGGACACGGAGATGGCAGTCCACCGAGGCGGAGGCTGCTGCCCCTGTCAACCCTAAGATTAGCCAGATTGTTGACCAGATCAGCACATTGACGCTTCTGGAGACCGCCGACCTCGTGGCCACCCTCAAGGTTCGTTCATTGTTTGTTTCTTTCCGCATATCGCAAACCGATGTGGTGCAATGTTTTTGCTCGCGTGTACCTCCCACTGGGCAGATGGGACACCTTGATAGGATCAATTGATTTGAATATACCATGCTGATGTCACGGTTTCCACTGCAGTCCCGCCTCAACATCCCCGACCTCCCCGTTGGCGGTTTCGCCATGGCCGGCGGTGCTGCTCCCGCCGCCGCTCCCGCTGAGGAGGAAGAGGCTGCTCCCGCCGCCCAGGAGAAGACCCTCTTCAACCTGAAACTCGAGTCCATCGACGCCGCCTCCAAGGCCAAGGTCATCAAGGAGATCAAGTCTCTCCTCGGCCTGTCCCTGGTTGACAGCAAGAAGTTCGTCGAATCCGTGCCCAAGGTCCTGAAGGAGTCCGTGCCCAAGGAGGACGCCGAAAAGATCATCGAGACGCTCAAGGCCGTCGGTGCCAAGGCCATCATGGAGTAAAAAACCGGGGATTAATAATGTCGATGAATTGGATTTATACCTGGTGAACTTGCCCCCTTTCCCTGGCTCTGGCGAACGGGGCGACGGGGATCAGGACGGCCGGGACGTTGTGATTGGGACTGCATCATCGAGCTGGAGTTTTGTCTCTCACCACTTATTACTGTGTTTTTAGTGTTTTCTTTTCTCCGTCGTATATCTCTTGAACTGTTTCTGATATAACCGGAAAGCGGGAAAACGGCGGCAAATGTACATTATCATCTCTTGATTTGGACAATTTGGATCCCTGATGGACGAACGATCTGTGTCTGTTCAACTCTTCTGCTGTCTATTGCGCTTTTCCAGGCGGATGGACGATAGATATGCTGTTTTAGTATTATGAAGTTAATCATGGTTTCTTAGCTTAGTTGATAGAAGAAGATGCGTAGAGGTCGAATTGCAGGCGAGAATCAATATCACTTCCAAATGAATAAAATACATCCATATCCAAATCCAAATCCAAATCCAATCCAGTATCCACTCAAAGTCACACCTCTATTCAAAGTGTGTAGTGCAGCAGTGCAGTCAAGCACCCAGCTCCGCTCCACCAAGACAACAAATCTCTCCGCCCCAAACCACCAACAAACAACCACCTCAATCTCCCCCCCCCAAACAACTCCCCCAAAATGTCCCTCACAAGACCCCTCCGAAAATGCCCACGCCTCCTCCCTCGCCTCCCCTACCACCACCACCACCACACCCAACATAACCAACATACCCCCCAAACTCAATCCACAAGAACACCACTCAGCCAACGGAAATTCCACAGCACCCCCCAACCCTCCGCCGCGCGCTCCCCCTCCGTGCGCCGCGCCGAAGCAGCCCAGAAACGGCCGCAACAGCCACGAGCAACAAACACCTACACCGAAGACGGGCTCCTCAAGACCCCAGCACAGGGCGACCTGGCGCAGCGGCTCCGGTTCCTCGATTCCGCGTCGAAGACCCTGCACCAGGAAGCACGGCGATATGGCGGCGTCACGGTCGACCATGCTACGTTCGTGCGCATCGCGAGGGAGCTGTTTAATACGGCGTATATGCATCCGCCGGCGGGGCAGCTTGTGTTACGGATTTCGGATGGTGAGATTGTTACTTTCACTCTTATGGTTGTATAAAGGATCTAGAGAGGGATTGGAGCTAATATATTACACTGGGGGGAAAATGCAGATGTAGACGAGGTCTTTAGGATAGGCTACCACATCGGAACAAGCGACATGGGATTCAAGGAATGGGTGCTGGCGGCGTGCAGTCTGGCCGGGGCGCGCGTGCCCGTGCTATACCAGACGGCGCGGTATCTCACCATCACGGAACGACGGGGCACGGAGGTGCGGCAGACGGCTGTTATTGACAGGCTGGAGGAACTCGGCCGCACGAGCAACGATCCCCGCGCGCTGCAGCTGCTGGCGCAGGTGCAGGGCCGTCGGGGGAAGTATACCCAGGCGCTGGAGCTGATGGAGGCGGTGCTGGCGCGGATTCAGCCGGCCAAGAGCGCGCCGCGCGGGGCGGAGCAGTCGTACTTGATCTCGGAGGTTATGGAGACGCCGTGGCGGGTGTATGCGTGGTTAAAGGAGCGGACGGGGGATGCGATGGGGGCGGATGAGGTGATGCGGAGCGCGGCGCTGGAGTTTGAGGATCCGCGGGCGTTGCAGGATCATGCGAGTTTGTTGATGCGCGAGATGGATCTGGAGGGGTATGAGGAGGGGATGAGCAAGGCGGCGAGCTCGGGGGATGCGATGGCTTGTCTGAAGCTGGCGAATTTCTACTATCTCACGTCGAAGGGGTGGTTTCCTCGGCGGGGGGTGAAGGTGTCGGAGGGGGAGAACGCGAAGGCGATACCGAGAGCGTCGAGGACGGTTGATCCGGCCAAGCCGGTGGAGGAGAAGAAGCCCGGCGCGCTGGGTAGGTTCTTCTGGTTCCTTTCTGCGGACGTCAAGTCGCATGTTGAGTATCGGAAGTTGGCGATGGATTGGTACGAGCTGGCGGTGAAGCATGGGAACTCGAGGGCCGCGTTGCTGCTCGCTATCATTGAGCGTGAGGATGGGAATTATGAAGCGGCGTGGGAGCTCTTCTGGTCCTCGCGGACTGCAGATGCGAAGGAGTTTATGCCGACGTCTCAGGATGAGCTTCTGAAGGTCTGGCGGGATGAGACGTTCCGGCCCGAGGTGCCGCTTCAGCTGCTCGATCTTTGATATAGCTGTCTCTATCTGGATGGACCGCTGAAGGATGGTAGTTTGTTTATTGTGTTTGGTTGATACCCGTGTGCTATACGCTGTACAACAATATCTATTCGCTATGCCCGATGGCCTTTTGGGTATAGACACTTGGTCATCTGCTTTGATTGTATTATATCACAAAATGTTTAAAATCAGGCTGGCCAGCTATTAGTCTGCGCCAGGAATAGGAGGAATACGGGTGCAATATCTCCTCGAGGGACGTCCATTGCTGTACAGAGTACACTACAAGTGCATGAACTTGCTCCCCCAAAGATGGACCTGGATACATGCGGAGGGTTCTTGGTCTCAGGTTTGCTGTAGGTTTGTATTTTAGCACTACAACGGGTCATTCATACAGTGTGGAGTCGTAATCAAGTTCATCTGCTTCGAAAGGCGTTTTTTTCGTAAGGCTTCATTAAAATCGTAAAGTTGATTATTTTAGAAACAGGCATAGTACCGGAGTGGCGGTGTTCTGAGATATCGCAACGCTGGGAAATTGGCCCATAGGCGTACTGTTCATTCATGAAATGACCCTTGATAACGTCAACGCTTCCTTCCCTTGCCCTTGCCCTTGCCCCTTGTTTTTAGTTCGGTAAACCCGAGCTCCTTGAGTCCCTCCGCGAGCGGCGATGAGTCTTGCATCCCGGGGAAGTCCTTAGCTGGGAACACGCGGAATGGCTCCGACCACGCCTCCGCGAGGATAGGCATAGGCTGACCGGTATCCTCCACGTGGCCCCAGTTCATGAGCCGAAATTGTAGCCGATACTCCCCAGCTGCGTGGATGGAAAGGTCTGAGAATATGAAAAATGCCGCCGGTTGTTTCATTCGTACCGGTCCTGCAGAGGTCCTCTGCGTCACGTAATCCTCACTAGTCGGGTGGGCAGGTGCCGTCGCAGGGTCCGGGTCTGCATCAACATAGAAGGGAGAAATGAACGCCTTTCCGGAAAGCAAAGGCGTTGATTGACCTGGGCTCGCAGTTGATCCAAGGCGACTTTCACGGATGGTACCCCCTCTCTCCCTATCTGGTGGGCCTTGCTGGGGGGGTGTCGCCGCAGGGAATAGAAGACAACCAACGGCAAATCTCGGATCTTGCAAGATATCCTTATCTTGATCTGATACGGGGTCGAAGTCGGTTAGGAGCAATTGGATGATGGGTGGTGGATCAACAGGTCGCCGATCTCTATCACCAAAGCCGCAAGCTCTTGCCGCCATTGGTTGCTGTCGAATATGTAAATGATAGCGGGAAGCTGTGGAAGGCCGCCGCGGGGGTGGTGATGGCGAATGGTGAAGCAGGTTCTCAAAGCCCAATGGTACGCCGGACGTTGTCTGACGCGGCGGTTGCTGCAATGAATACTTTGGCGTAGGGTTGGTGTTGAACATTGCCGAGCTTTTATCAGAGTGGACGGGGCTTGGAAACGTCGTAGAGGAACTACTATATCAGGTCAGGTCGAGTTAGAACATCGAAAAGAATGCATCACAAGGCCCTCTGAAACCAGATTTCTTGCTTTTAGAGCGAGCCCAGATCGATCCAAAAGCAAGAACAGGAGCGAAAGTCGCAGGCTAAGAAAAGGGAGAGTTACAGAGATTCCATGTCGTTTGTCCGCCCCGTGGAGCCTATGGAGCCACGGCCTTGACTTGATGTTTCATGATAGGAACTTGACGGCCCATAGTAGTCAACACTTTTTGAGATGCTCCAACGCTGCACTGCGTACGGAGCAAGAGGCCCACTCGCGATTGAGGAGACACTATATCGATGCTCCGTACTATCTCGCCTTGCGCCTTCAAATACAAACCTAGGATGAGTCGAAGTACTAGCAGTAGGATCATAGCCTTGACTGTCTGGAAATAGAAACCGTGGGGGTTCTGGAGTCGAATATGCGGGATTTGGAATTGTTGCTGCTAATCCTCTTCCTGCATCGTCACCGACACGGGTGCCCGTATCGGGGTACCGGCTGTCGGGAAGGGAGTGCGTCCATTGTGGTAATGGCGTATTCGACATCTATGCAGGCGTATACAAGGTTGGGTAGGTTATCACCTATACTCTCCTTCCACTTTGCGTCTGGTATTGGCAAACGTCGGGCGGCTAATTCCCGATTTCTGCAAGGCGGGCATCAGTTAGAATAGCAGATAAAATGGCGACCTTGTTATCGTAAGCGTTCTAAGAGACGATATAATGCCGGTCTTTACATAGACAATTGATGAGGGATTGACGATGAAGCAAAACGGGACGGCCAGATGCCATATACATAGATCCAGCAAACACACAGCTGCGACTTGGGACCGACAACACGATGGGCTGAACTCCGTCCCAAAAGAACAAAGAGGTGAGGATGACTACCCACCGGGGGCCGACTACTTGAGTCTATCAAGAATGCTGATTCGAGTAACATGCATCAGTTAGCCCAAATTAATTTGCAAGGCAGAACAACAAGGCAGCTGCACGAGGGGCACGCCGAAGAAAAAGAAATAACCCAGGAAAAAGAAAAGGGCGAAGCACCGTCCAAACAGAATGGATGAAAGTCGGTACAACTCACACTAGGAATGACAATACCAATGTACAAAAAAAAATTTAGGTGTGTGCAACAGAGCGTCTGATGACCAATTCAGTCCTGGAAAAAAACAGAACAGAAGACTCGCAACGGTGTCGTTACCAACCTTGGGGACCGAGAATATTCCACCCTTACTGATTCTATACCAATCGGTAACCGTGCAGAGGAAATAGTCGATATGGAGAGTCAGACTGGGCGATGCTTTTGTGAGGACGTGTGCGTGCCCACTGTGTATGTGTGTGGCATTGACGGGCGAATCTGACCTGCAGTGGCGTTGCGTGCCTGACAGGATTCTGTTAAGAATATCCCCGAAATAATTCCCCCGGTTCGTTGATAAATAAAATGAAAGCGAAAAAAAAGAGGAACAATAAGAACAGCGATACAGGGTGGTCCCCTCTGGCCCCAGTTCTCCTTCGCTATCAGAAATTGAAGCTTTTATGGAAGAAAATAACAATAGAGGTGTAGTCGTCGGCAAATGATGAAGCAGCACGAAGTGGGCCAATGACAGATGGTCTTAAGTCTCAAGTGCGGTCAGTTTAGACACTATATAAGTCAGTAGAGACATTTGATGTCCATCTCTCGGCGCTAGTCCCTTGCAATGACGCTACTACTCAAGAGCCGTGTTGGTGGGTGGGTAAATAGGATTCCAAATTCGGGCCAGGGCGATCATGTACCGGTTGAGAAGGCATTATTTGACTGTCCCCAGTTAGGAGCACGCCGACAGACTGTGACATGACCAATCATGGTCTGGGATTCTTGGTCTGCAATAAGTCCAATATCCTGGTTCAAAGGAGGGTAGAGTGTTGTGCTGGCCCATCCTCTCTCAGCACCCCATCCTTTTTTTTTTTGTCTTTTTTGTTTTTGGGGATTGTATTTTCTCAGACAACGAGGACGTTGTCGCCGATGCCGAACGAGCCGGGACACAAATGCACAGGCGATCATGAAATTAAGTGTATCCAATCTGGGCTGAAAGTGCAGGCGTAGTAATCCCCATTCAAATTATCTGGCGACCTGGCGACGGGCGTAGATCAATCGCGACGAACGCCAACAGAAGCTATATCCTCAAGTGCTCCACTTGACCCGAAGTATCTCGATCATGATGGAATGACCCAATTCTATGGTTACGAGAATCACCTACCAGGATCGCTGCCCCGCTAGCGACTGCAGCTCGTTCAGACCGTGCAATGACCTGGATCTTTGAACAGTATATATACAGATTTGTGGGGATCTAAGCATCAGACCCGCAGTCTTGGTGAAGAAGGTAGCAGATAATCAGGTCGATCGATAGATAGAGACTCTGCCTTCCACTCATAGAGAATTCCCTAATCTTGCCGAGGGTTCAAACTTCAACTGTGTTGAGTTTGGGAATCCACAGTGGCTCTCCGAGCATTCGGCATGTCAGTCGTCCAATCAAAATATGAATACATAGACAACACGGCGGATCCCGCTATGTCCACTGATGTGCAGGGTTGCTGACCGCAATGTGGACAGGTGTACGGAGGACCTGTCAAGTATTTACTCCAACAACCCTTCTTCCCATTACCTGGTACATCTGGGTCACCCAACTTGCAGGGTAATGGTTATTTCCCCCAGCTCAACATAGTGCAAGGTTTGAAAATCAACCTACATCAAGGACCTGCCCGAGGCATGGACAAATACTGAATAGCCGACGGCCATTTTTGTTAGTAAACTAAAACTTACTTAGGTTGCGTATACAATTCTCCGCGATAATCACCCAGGTAGCAAACACCTACCGAGTAGGGGGGGAAAACTCCCCCAGTATACCTCGGCTTGGCAAAGATGGTCGATAATCCATGCTCATTCCTTAGTGGTCTGATCTGACCACTTCCCTGGTCTAGTCGCTGTGGCTAACATCCTTATGATGTGGGGACCATAAAAGCGGTCACCGCCACATTGCCATACGTTCTCAGCTGAGGTTTCTCTATGGGCTCCTCCGCACAGAAGTCCTTGTGGGTGTAGGCTGCCTGTGCCCTTGGTCAAAACGGGGCCGCTACTTGTGCATTAGCATTGCAACCGTTCCTTTCTAGCGAGAAAGCTACTGCATGTGAGGTTGCCTTGCTGGCGATAGCGAGTTATGTGTCATACTTTCGACCAAACTTCTGATTCTCACAGAGGCATTGGATCGTGAGAGTGTAGGATGCGAGCGAAAGTAAACTCATCATAGCTTGCAAGGAAAATGTTCAGCAAGCCATGTTTCAATTCCTGGAATATTGATGGGGCGTATGTCTGTGTGACGCCTCCTATCCCTGCAGACTAAGATAGCGTCGGTCCTATTTCGCAACCGATATCCCAGAACGACTAGTGGATCGACCGGAGAGGCATAGCTTCAGCCTGCGCGTACTAACGTTGTTGATGAATCATAATTGAGCCTTTATAAATTGCAAAACCGTGTCCCTACAAGGCAGGAACGCATCGTTATATGCATCAATGTCCGCTCCATAGAATGGCCGCGTGTTGTAGTCGTCTTATACCGTTAGACAGGTCTTGCTTTCTCGACCAGGTATAAATCAGCTTACTTACATGGTCAACTGTTTTGAAAATAGTATCGAGGAGAGGTGGGGATGCAACCAATAGGCAAATGTCTCGCTCTCAACGTTGGAATCCAACGGACGACTAACAGACGAGAATGAAGCCATCCCCACCGGGCCGAGCCCAAAAAAGCAGGCTAAGGATGCCATCCAATCGCAAAAGCCGAAAAGAGTTGGGGATGGCGGCAAGGCGACGCGTCCACTTGGTTACTAAACTAGTAGATCAGTAAGTAGAAACAGAGGCAAAGGAAGAGGGAATCCCGAATGAGACACTGGGTGGTCAAGTGACTTGAACCAGAATGTCGGGATTTATGATCACGGGTGGTAAGGGTTAGCCCTTTCACAGCGACTTATCTACCATTGTATGGGACAGGGCCTCTGGTTGCCTTGAACTATAGCGCTCGTTGGTGTCTTCTCTCCAGTACTGACTTTCCAAGCCGATCTCCCAGGCTAGTACTACCAGTTCTCTAGTCCTTCGCATCCTGTATGTACATACAGAGTACATAGTACACCTTGCGTGCTCACCTTTAAGCAAGCTCTGCAAGAAACAAAGTCACTATCTGCTGCACTAAGATTCCTTCGCATGGATTTACTCCTTCCAGCACGAGTAATGGAGCCCTGATTCTGTCTAGCCTACCAAGAGACAAATAAGAAGGGGCTCCCCGATGCAGAGCGCGTTAGCCTTTCACTAGGTGAAGGCAGGGAAGCCCAGGGACCAATAGTGTTGAGAAAATGACGCGACGATCGGGGAAGACTCCGTGCACTCATCCCTTTTCCATCTTTTACTCCAATGGGGGTAACATATCACTCAAGGCTGTGCCAGGGTATGACGGTATGGCTAAGGACAAATGGACGTCATAGGTCATGTACTGGAGTGCAAGTCCACGGCGATGGTGTTCTGTATCTGCATCAGGGAGATACCCGATTCCCTGTTCAGAAGGCACGTAAATACATCGGGTACGAAAAGGTTTCAGCCATTTCATAATTCACCTTCGGGCTCAGAACATCCTGGGCGTGGCCCAATACGTAGCAACTGGGCCGCCAAGGTGCTATACAGCCTCCAGTTCCTTGTCGGGAGTGTCCCGTCACGTTTAGGTCTGCAGGACCAAATCTATTGATTTCCAGGTTTTCAGGTGCTTTAGCATGCGTACCGACCCACAGGCATGGGTAGTAAAGTCCTTCATTAGTCTATAAATCCCACTTTGTCCGCCACCTGCAGAGCACAGGGCAACAAAACGCTGTGGGGGCCCCCTGTTCTTGCAGAGGTCTATGCTCACTCGGGATTTAAAGGACGAAGCAAGGGTGATACAGCGTGTATGAGGTCGCCGGCCTACTGATAATGTATAGTCTATATGTATGGCTGGCATATGTATGTGAGCTCGGACTTCTCCGCCCTTTCCTTCCTGCTGGACAATTTCCACTCAATTAGGATTTAGGGAAGAAATCTCGAAGACATTGGATTCTAACCTTCCTTGACCGCATTTTGGACTCGGTCACGGTCTAGCACCACTCAGAATCAAAGGAACAGATCCCAGTATATACTTACATTACATAAAAGTGACTTATGTGGAGTAGATCAACCGTGCTCTCCATTACAAGCCTGCCCGGATTTAGCAAGTTACCCCAAAAGGCCATTTTGGTATTGCTGCGTTCCAAATGGGTACATTGAAGGGAGAGTCCGCTTCAAGAATACTATTATACATTCAAAACCAGATGTCGTCTGCTGCGTGTTAACCACCGGCATAGCTGACCGTGCTCGCACGCAGCTCATCTGATGGATACCACTGATACAGTGATAAAATGACATCATTCCACAGTACCACCTGGGCATGTGATTATGTTCTTTTCTGGCGGTATATACGAGAGAATAGAGTCGATCCACCTGTCGACATCAGAAAGCCCGGGGTATCATTACGGAAAAGAAAAAGAAAAAGTGTAGCAAGGAGGCGTCGCTAAGGCCAATAGTAAACAAATGGACCGAGATTGTCCGGCGCAGGAGCTCGCATGCCATATTCATTTGTAGACCTCTGAGCGAGTAGAAAAGTAATGATATTTCCACGGCGCTCGGTGCGGTTACCCAGCCACAATACTAACTGCACCCGCAAGTGCCGCAGGAGATCTAGATCGCCACTTACTGGCTGGCTGAGATTGGGTTCACTAGTCCATTAGTTTCCACGTCTTAGACGGTCTATGGGGGCTGTATTTGAGGCCTGTGCGTTTCTCATATCCTAGGGTATTGTCAAATAGTGGGATCAGCTCGTTGTTTATACGAGATCTGGTCCTGGGTCTGCGTCCACATAGTACACTGGGTAAGAATGTCTGAATGGGGGATTGGTATCCTTCTGTTCGGGTAGATCATTTCCAGGAGAGACTCTCATAACTGCATCGAGGCCAAACAATGGGTTTGGGACGATCCACTGTTTCTCAGCATCTAGAGCTCCACAGCTTTTCCCAACAAAAACGGCAACAAATCGACCAAAGGCACGGTCCCAAGTCACGATATGGCCTGTCTCTTCCCAAGTTTGGGCCGATTTGGGCCTCGCGACCAGGTAGCCAAGCTGCATCAGATGTAGGCAACATTCAGACACTAGGGATATCCCATGGCTGTGTGGTCTGACACGAAGTAATCCCAAAGCCGAGGACGGCCGCACACTAAACTGGTCAATTCCTACGGGCAAAGTGTTGTTTGGTAATTCAATCGGGGACCGCTGTGGAAACCAAGCGAAGTCATACGGTGCGGCATCCTTATACGGTATGGGGACGCGAATCTGATCCCCTTCAAATTCGTCCAGCAGGTTAGCGATCCTGCCTAGCTCCAGCATCGATTTTGAACACCCGAGAGCTTCAATCTCTGCGATTAGGCGCATGTTGCTATCATACCCTGCACTGTCGCCATCGATTGTCAGGAGCGGTTGTTCAGAACTGATGTAGAGCGGGTTGGAGATGCTCGTATGGACCGATTTCCGTCTATTCCAAGTGACTCCGAGTCTCTTCTCCATATCTTCTAGTTGCGCTTCAAGAATGCTAGGATACTCCTTCCCCGCAAGCTGCGGAATTGCATGGGCCACTCGTTCGGCTGCGAGGAGACCTCTTAAACCCTTGAAGTTAGATAGACCTGGTAGATTACCATTGGCGCATTTTGATATCTGTCTGAGATAGGTTACAGCTTTTCTATGGCTTCCAACTTCGACAAGAGCTTCCACACAGCCATAAGCCGACTGGAAAGTGTGAGGTGAATCAGGACCTAGTCTTTTCGTCGTCCGGTCCCATATGTCTTGTAATGTTCTGTCGCTCCGTAATCTTGCGAGCAACGACAAATACGGCCCAGCGGATTGGGTTGAATCGTGATGGTCGGCCCAGCACATTATACTGTGCAAATTGTGTTCTGAAAAGCCCCCACCAGCACTTTCTCCCGTAACTATACTCCGCATCTCATTGGTATTATAACCTGGCTCCTGGAATGGCAAAAGTTTGAGGGAAACGAGAAGAGCGTCCACAAGGGGAGCGCACGACTCTAAATCCAGCCGCCGGAGACCAAGGGAAATATAGCCTTCGAGGTGCCGTTTCAGAGCTGATACTGAGAAGGCAAGACAGGAATAGTACATCCCTATGACAAATAGTGAAGGCGATACGGGGGCTCTTAGTTTCTCTAGCCTCATGAGGATCCCATTAATGGTTGAGAGTATTTCTCCGTAAGAATTAGACCGCTGGCAGCGTTCTAATGCCTGCGCGAGGAACCTACAATGCCCTGTTTGCAAAAACACCCCACCGAGTGGATCATTGACATTTCTTTCAATCAATGAGCGTAGGTGGTCAAGATCCAGAGTATCTTTTTTCATACCTCGTAACACCTCTGCCTTACAGGGAGCAGCGGTTCTTTGTTGGAGAGAGCTCCACAGAGGTGGAGGAGGTGACGTGCTCAAAGGCCATTCCTCTGAAAAGAGTTCCTCTAGATGTTTGTCCTGGATAGTTTTCGGAAGTACTCCATTATGAACCGGTTGTGTACTCCCTGTCAAGGTAAATCGTAATAGCTGGGATGGTGTGGGTTTGGTGAGTGACTCTAGAGCACCCCGTTTGGCTTCGCCCGAGGCATGTCGGAGAGATGATTGCGACAGAGAGAGTTGGGAACGCAGTTGTCGCCTTGGCCCTAGCCACAAGCGATAATCTAAGCGTTTGGACATTGGTTACATCCAATGTCCAACGGCCACCTATAGAGTTGCACGCGTTGTATGTACATAGAACATCATCATTATAGTAAAAGCACATGGTCAGAGCACGGGCGGTGAATTGGGCGGTGGGAAAAGCAATCGTAACCTTGAGATTGTGATCTCGCGCTTCTGCTGTTCTTCAATCTCCCATCTTATCTCCGATTATCTACAGCCAGACGTCAACTTGAAACTGAGGGACTTCGAATAATCTACCGCCACTTGCACCATCCGACACTGATCGCTGCACTGGTGTTATAGCATCATGCCTACCGAGCGCAGCACTGAGCAACCTGCGTCAAAGGTTTCCGACGACAATGAGCCCGTTTCTGTCACAGCTAAGGAACAGAATAATGTCGCTAAAGATTGTAATGCTAGTGAAAAAGAGTCCGAAGACACAAAAGCTTCAGGCAGTTCATCGACGGCAGCGGACCCCGTAAAAGGAGACGACACGGCCGCAAAGGCGCGCCAGAGACAGGAAAGATTCAAGGCCCTTCAAGCTCGTGCAGTATGTTTCTTTCTTTTTTCTTCCTCTGCTTTGCTGCCTAAACTTTCTCATATGGTCCGTTCCAAGCTCACTTGAGTACAGAAATCTGCGACAGAACGCAACTTGAAGGAAACAGCAGCCGAGACACAACGTCTAGCAACCGATCCATCGCTGCTTTCGTCATTGTCTCGTAAACATGCGTTTGCGTCGCACAACTTACTTAAAGCCGATACGGAAGCCGCCGGTGAAGATTTTGAACGGAAACGCGCCTGGGATTGGACGGTCGACGAATCCGAGAAGTGGGATAAGCGTATGGAGAAAAAACAACGCCATCGGGATGATGTCGCATTCCAGGACTACACGCAAGATGCACGCAAAGTCTATAAGAGACAACTGCGTGAGATACAGCCCGACTTAGAAGCTTACGAACGAGAGAAGTTAGCAGCTATTGAGAGGGCTGCTGCTAATGGCGACTTGGAAATCGTGGAAACCAATGATGGTGAAATGATCGCCGTCGATAAGAATGGCTCTTTCTATTCCACTGCCGATACAGTAGGCTTCACTGAGAATAAGCCTGATCGAGCCGCTGTCGATAAATTGGTGGGAGACCTCAGAAAAGCAGAAGAAGTTCGGCTCAAGAAACGGAGAGAACGCCGTGGCGAAGAGGATGCCGATGTCACCTACATCAACGAAAAGAACAAGCAATTCAACCAGAAGCTGGCGCGCTTCTATAACAAGGTATGTTTATAACCGAAACGCTGGTTGACCAGGATCGTTGGCTAATCGTCAATTAGTACACTACGGAAATTCGTGACAGCTTCGAACGTGGTACCATGATCTGATAGAATACATGAAACTATATCTATAATACAGCGCAGGGCTTGCCGATTAGCGTCCAGTCATGTTTAGGACTATCAGGCCTGCGATCTTAAATTGGACAAACACTCAGGCTACTACCTGACAGCCTGGAGAAGTGACCAGGAACTGGTGGTACGTTTTTCCCCCAGAGTTGAACTCATAGCATGCTTTTTCTCCAAGCACTCGTGGCCAGAGCTTCGATTTTCTTCGTTCCTACAGCACCACGCACGGCCTCATCCTCCATCGCCTCAACCACGGCCTCACCTACCATATCCACCTGAAAAGGTTTGGTTACCATTGTGCCAAGAAAGTCGAGTCTATTGCCCAAGAGCTCATTGAACTGAGACCCGATGAAGCCTCCAAGTGCTATTGGCAATGTAAATTTTCTGCTTGAGTCGTACATAAATGGGGCTCGGATGAAGATACTCCGCAATTCCGGTATTCTCGTTGATATGGTTGTTTCAGCTTCTCGTTTGGTTGTGATATACCTGCTCGGAAGAACAGGCGCTCCCGCTGCGGCGGAAATGAATACAAAAGTTGGGACATGCTCGTTGCAGGTCTCTTGGGCTAGGGCAATCGCTGTGTTCCACCCGGTCAGCATTCTGTCTTCAAAATACTGTATAGCATATACAAACCAGAATCTCTGTTCATGAGCTCATAAGTCAATTGTCCATCTCTTTCCTTTGCATTCAATGGCTCGCCTTCCCGCCTTTGTAGGGGATTTTGGCTGCCCAGTTTCGAGGAGCTGAAGGCCCTTTGTAGGCCACTAATGATGGGTTCCCTTCCTTGCACCACGCCTTTGTAGTCGGCCTCTAGGAGAATACCCATGGTGTGTACAACAGCGGTAGCACCGCTCAAGAAAGGCTTGTAGGTCTCCGGTTTCAGCATATCTGCTCTAGCCCATTCTACAGAGCCTGCCCAACTAGGGCGTTCGGGCGAACTCGAAATCGCTTCCCATCGTGGTTCTCCGGACCGGCTGCGACAAAAAGTATGAATTTCGACGGACAGTCAGATTCGGTGTTATCGGAAGAACTCGTACCTGAGAGATGTTACCGACCAGCCTCTGGCTACCGCAGACCTGCATATTCTCGAGCCTGTAAATGAAGAGGGAAAAGAAAACGGTCAGTGATCTACAAGTCTTAGCCGATACTGCAGTAGAAAAGTATACCAACCTAGAAAACCGTTTCCGCCCGCAACCACTACCCTTTTCGTAGCCATTTTTCGCGTTCTTCTCTGTCTTTTAACGCTAGGAATTGAGACGATAAGACAACCCAGCGTAAATCAGAAATATGTCCGGTGGATCATTGCGGGCGCATCTGGTCTGATCTTCGGAGCTTCCAAGCTCTGGAACCACCGCTTCCGACGACACCCCATCGTCATGCTTCCCTCCGCGCTGTCACGTGCCGCTGGCAATTCCCGCGGTGATTTCGCGACAAGACTAGATAAGATCTAGGCACTCTAGCGCACCTCTAAGCTTCATCAGTCTTATTTCTTGTTTTCACCGGTATACTGGGTCATTCTTCGGGGCGATCGCATTTCACTAATCAACTTCTGCTATGCCTTCCGCCACAGCCACGAAGCGCGTGAGGGTAAGTAACGAATTTCCTCATAAAGAGGAAACTACAAGCTAACGACCACATCTATAGGGCGTCTCTATCTTCAGGCCCTTTGGTATGTCATCCTGACCACCAACTACATCCAACCGATACGACCTTTAATCGATGGGATGCACTCTAACCAATCCTAGTATTCGGCAGCGAAGCCCAACCCTTCGATCCAGCCAAGAAACCCGCCAATGCCCCCGCCGACCACACGCATCAGTGGCGCGTCTACGTGAAAGGCGTCAACGATGAAGACATCTCCTACTGGCTAAAGAAGGTTCAATTCAAGCTGCACGAGACATACGCCCAGAACATCCGTACCATCGAACAGCCCCCGTTCGAGGTAACGGAAACAGGATGGGGTGAATTCGAGATCCAGATCAAACTCTACTTCGTACCTGAGTCGATGGAGAAGCCTCAGACTCTCTGGCACAGTCTTAAATTGCATCCGTACGGGCCAGATGCGGAAGCCATGAAGGAGCGACGAGACCAAGTTACCAGCCAGAACTATGAGGAGATCGTCTTCAACGAACCCGTGGAGCAATTCCATGATCTGCTTACCGGGGGTGCTGCGTCGGCGCAACCGCAGAAAGGAAAAGGGGGGAAGAACACTAAGCAAAGCGGTCAGCGGAATGTCAGGACGGCGGAGATCCCTCCGAATGACTCTCCAGGGAACCCTTATAGTAAAGCAACCGAGAACAAGGAATTGGATCGCTTGGGTGAGGCTAGCAGGACGGTGGAGCAGATGATCAAGGAGGAAAAGGAGCGACTTATTGATCGTGAGAAGAGGCTAGCTGAACTGCGCGAGAGTGAAGGAGTGCCCGCGAACACGAAGAAGCGTTAAGCTCCGCGTCTGCTTTGAATGTCGTGATAAAGACACTCGCTTCCCTTCCGAGTCATGCCGCGTCTCCGAGACACTTCGCTCGCTGAGCAATACGATGCACATATGTTGAATGGGGTGCCACCTACGCTCGCCAGTCGCTAGTTTGGCGAAGATACGATCAGGTGTGACCGCCTACGGCCAGGGAACTTGACGTTCCCCCTGCTCGTGTCCCAGACTGGGTTTCTTATACCCAAATAATCTCCAGGAAGGATTACGTCCTTCATTTTCCTGTATGGGAACAACCAGGAGAACCCACACCATTCACTGAACCTACGTACAGAAATGGCCTAGATGACCTAATGAATAGTCTAATATTATCTTCGAGGACGTTGCAGTAGTCACTCGATTCAATTGCTCATGTAATCTATGGTACCGTAGTAAGGAAAGTAGTGCGTAAACGGGTACTACGCTGCCCTCCGCTTACTTTTGATTAATCGTAAGCATTAATCGCTATCAGCAATCTCAGAGACTCCACAACCCTAAGTGCAAGTGAATTCCGCACATCCGTTTCCGCCTCCGTCTCCGCGTCCGAAGATAACCATGCCATGGTTACCATGGACCCCCCCCCCCCCAACATCGGGTGACAATTGTGGGCCAGTTTGAAAGTGAGGGAATACCACGGAACATTTATCAGAAACGGGCAGTCTGATGCAATTTGAAATGTAACGGGGGTCCACGTAGTGTACGTAACCTTATGCGGTACGTTAACAGGCCAAATGCAAATGGGCTGAACCACAAACAAGCAATAAGGGTCCCGTGTATACGAACGAGTATATCCGGAGGCAATAACGCTCAAGATCTTCAATTGATTGATTTCAAGTATAGAACAAATATAGATATATTCCATGATAGTAAAAGAGTTAATCCCGAGATTCTCAAGCGTTGCACGTAGACTCCTCAATATGCACATCAAATTAACAAACAACAACAGGTACGTTGGCGCTTAATCATAACTTGCTGTAGCTTTGGTCGTATCTCGAGTTTGCTTAAGGAACGGTATTAGATCCGTGCCACCCGTACCATGGATCCCCCCAGTAAGCTTCTCGGTTTTGTCTCGCATATGGGTTGTCGTCGATGTGGCCAGATTGACTTGTGTTGAATCATTGGATGGCGGTTTCGCCTTCGCCGCCATGATGATGTACCTTGTGACAATCTGAATATGTGAGTCCCTGAAGACCCCTAGAGACATTACAGCCGTGTTGTAGGCATCTCGGATTGGTGAGTTGGCCTTGTGACTGAGGGCATAAGCACGGACATTTGAGACACTGGTAAGCATCTCGAGGAAGCGTCGGTGAGGCCCGGGCATATAGTTTCTCATTTCCTGCGAGGGGGGGAGAGGTTTAGTCCTGTTTCGGGCTGATTGGGGGTTCAAAGGTAATACATACCTGCATGAATCCGTTCTTAGCTCTTGGCTGGACTGCATCATTAGTCTTCATGCCTCCGGTAGCTATATGCTCCACACCCAGGAATATGTCAAATGTCTGAATTAGTGAACTTTGTGCATTGCTTCCACCGCTGTATTGATGCCATTTTCCTTGACCGGAGCCGATGTCGTAGAAGACGCCGTTGGGTAGTCCAGCTGAGGCCATGTTTTTGCTACCGGCTAGAAGCGGGCGGAGTTGATGGTAGAATACTGAAGGACGGTTCTTTTCGTACATCCGTTCTAGTAGTTTGCGGAGCTCCTTGAGGCCTTCGCTGAGTGTGAGGAGTGAATCACACACACGTTCAGTGTCATCAATACTGACGGCGTGGATTGTGTCGAGCATCAACGGGATAAGTTGTGCTCCTTTTGCTTCCATTGCGACGGAGATCATTAAGAACCATTCTTCATCTTTAGTTCCGGTGAATGAGGCCGTCACTGATAGAAGATCAGGGTCTGTGAGGTCTGCGTTGGGATCGGAGGTTGCGTAGTTCCATAGATTAAGCGCTGCGTAGGTGGCACAAGGAGGGAGTTCTAAGTGACTCGAGACTTCGAGGAATGGTGAGGATATAGCAGGGGGCAGAATCTGTGTGTCCAGTTAAAACGGTGCCCAGTGATTCTGTAGTGGTGAGACTTACATCTTTCGGTTTTTCACCACCCCAGATGTACGCATGTGTAAGATAGGAAAGCAAAAGATAGGCTCTCCTCCACTCTGGCTCTCCTTGTAGCTTCGACGTCGAAAGAATAGGCAGTGCTTCCACAGCTTGTCTTATAGTTCGGAATCGGATATGGTTCGGTAGGTCACTAACAATATGCTCCCATGGCCAGTAATAAGGATTTTCCATCATCTTCAATGGGGAAGAATGAGGCAGGAAGCCATTTTGAAGTGACACCCCATATTCGTCGAGTGAAACCTCAGGAGTATAACGCATGGTGTAGTGTATGATAGAAACGATAGCCTGTGACGAAGTCTTTGGTCTTAGGATTGCCTTTAGCACAATCAACGGATTTCAGGAGCAGTTATTTAGTAGGCACGTTCATCAACGTACAATCGTCTGATATCGAGGGTATGGCGGAAGAGGGCCGGATCAAGAAGCGGCTTCCGGCTCAATCAATCTATGAAGGTGACATCAAAAGCCGGTACACCCTCCGAGATAGTACAATATGCATGTCAGCAGGAATAATTACAGGAGTGCAATATGGTATGGGTCCCCTGGCGAAGAAGGGTATTGTCGGACTGGTCCTATTCTCAACACGGATGTGAGGCGGAAGCGGATAGCCATCCGTCCTGAGCAACCGAAGGACGACGAGATGCAGATGGCATGCAATGACGTATAAAGACACACCTGTAGTCCACCGAATCAGAAAGTAATTCATTCTTAATAAAAATCCTGAAAAGTTACCGAAATCAGTACACGATGTCTAACGTTAAGTCGTCCAAGCCGGTTTTTCCTCAAAATGCAGGGTCAATAGAATACGCGGCGTCGCTTGACGCAGCAGACCCGTTGGCATCATTCCGTGAAAAGTTCATTATCCCTTCAAAGGCAAACGTCAATAGCAAGAAGCTTGCGAAGCCAGGTATTGGCTGCCCTTCAAATCTCTGTTCCGCGGTAAACCATCTGACAACCTACTAGGTCTCTCATCAGACCCATGCATTTACTTCTGTGGCAACTCTCTAGGTATTCAGCCAAAGGCCACAGCGAAATACTTGGAAGCACAGTTGGACACTTGGTCATCAATTGGTGTATCCGGTCATTTTGTAGAGCTCGAGGGCTCTCCTCTGAAATCATGGCAATTGCTTTCGGAACAAGCCGCAGCATCGATGAGTAAGATTGTCGGAGCACAAGCAGATGAGGTTGCAGCAATGGGAACCCTAACTGCAAACCTTCATCTCTTGCTTGCAAGCTTCTATAAGCCGACTCCAACAAAGCATAAGATTCTGTTAGATTGGAAGGCTTTCCCCAGCGATCATGTAAGTACAAGAGCTTCATGTCTGACAACGGACCCATCTGCTCTAGCCCATGTGTATTAATACCAAAGCAGTATGCAATCGAATCTCATCTGGCCTGGCACGATCTTGACCCGAAGCAATCCATGGTTCTCATTGGCCCTGACGAGGGCGAGTATGAGATCTCCACAGAAAAGATCTTGTCTTACATTGACGAGCATGCTGAAAGTGCAGCTCTCATTCTTTTGCCAGGAATCCAATACTACACTGGGCAGCTTTTCGACATCCAAAGGATCACAGCCTATGCACAGTCACGAAATCTTACTGTTGGGTGGGATTTAGCGCATGCGTACGGCAACGCTGAGGTGAAATTACATGACTGGAATGTCGACTTTGCAGTGTGGTGCACGTATAAATATGGAAATTCTGGACCTGGGGGAATGGGAGGCCTTTTCGTCCACGAGAGGCACGGTCGAGTTGATTATAGCGAAGGAGAAGACACTCCAAAGTTTAGGCATCGTCTGACTGGGTGGTACGGTGGTGATAGAAGCGTGAGGTTCAAGATGGACAATAGTAAGTAGTGGAAGACCAAAAAGGAGATTAGGGCTGACATGTGCGAAAAGAGTTCAAGCCGATCCCCGGAGCAGGTGGTTGGCAACTTTCGAATCCTTCGGCTATTGATCTTGCATCCCTCTGCGCCTCGTTGTCCGTTTTTGACGAGACATCTATGGCTGAGCTGCGCAAGAAGTCCGTTATGCTAACGGCGTACTTGGAGCATCTCTTGCTAAAAGATACCACTGATGAAACACGTCCTTTCCGCATTATCACGCCACTAGACCCCGAGGCAAGAGGGGCTCAACTCAGTCTACTACTAAAGCCCGGCTTGTTGCAGAACGTCTCCCAGAAATTGCAAGAAGGGGGCATAGTTTGTGACAAGAGAGAGCCAGGTGTTGTCCGCGTTGCCCCTACTCCCCTGTACAACACCTTCACCGACGTATGGAATTTTGTGAGTTATTTCAAGGCTGCACTGGACGAACCAGTACTGAAGAATTGAATTGCGCCTTGAGATAACCTCAAAGCCAGTGACGGTGTGGTTAAATCAACATCAACCTCCGCCTGTGGTATGTGATCTCTTGGCCGCTTTCTGTTTGCCTGTTCCCAAGTCAGCTGTAATATAAGAGAGCAATTGGGCTATATATTGACCAAATATAATGAATAAATGAAAAGAAAAGGTAACTGATCAATGTAGCCAAGCCGGTGGCTATTCTAAGAGACTCATACATTTTACCCGCCTGGCTGATCAAGACGAGCGCAGGAGGATGATTCGAATATACAAATATCTGAGTTTGACAAAAAAGGAAAAGAAAAGAAAAGAAAAGAAAAGAAAAGAAAGAGAAAGAGAAATCACCGCAGCATCAAAAGTTTCCGATCCCCGTCCTGTTGTCACAGTTTCGTAAGAACTCTTGTCCTTGAGAAAAGAAGTTTGCAGCAAGAATAGAGAATTCGTCATCTAGTCCATCAGGCCGCGGTGAATTTCCTGGCTCCATGGTATACGGGGGGCCTGTAGGGAATGGCGTTTGAAGACCATACTGTGGCATTGGAGATGGTGAAAGTCCCTGTGGGGGACCGAGTCGAAATGGTTCGGGCAGGGGAGATGTTTGAGATACTTCTCCCGTAAATGTGGGAGGCTCCGAATACAAAGAGTCGCCGAACATGCGTCTGGCAGAATCTGAATCGCTGTTTGAAGAGTATTCGAGGATCTCCCAGAATCGAGAGAGATCTATTAGTAGACTCTTATTTTGAGCTCCGGATTCGGGCTGGTAGGAAGCAGAGACAGCATCTTCCAAACGTTGTAATCTGTCGGCCTGCGGTACAAGTACTTCACTTAGCCTGTTATCTATAATCAATACGATAAAACATACTAATCGGGCCATATACGGCCATTTCTGCCCCAGCTTCTGTACAAAGCTGACACATATGAGAAACCGGTCACGCTTCTCTTGACGAATTGTAGGGTTTTCGGTAAAACTCAGCTGTAGTTCAATCGTAGCCACGACGGCAGCGCTGTATCCCAGAAACGGATCAGAAACCATGAACGACTTCTCTTCAAAATACTTAATAAAATGTATTATCCAGGTGGTGTGTGTTGATATTAGGTCAGAGGTGTGTTGCAGGAATATCTCGGGGATAGTGCTTCGGAAATTTCTGAGACCCAGGGAAAGTAGAAGTGGATGGTTGAGGAGACATAAGATGGTATGATATAGGCACTGGTTTAGGAAGAATGGGCCCCAATAATTTCGGTTTGCTTGGAGATCCTCGAGCGTCCTTTCAGATAAGCTAGCGGGCTTGAATCGATGGATATACGGCACGCACGTTTCTAGGTCCATCTGAAGTGTGATTATTTTGGAGTATTCTGATTGCGAAGACCACGGTGGTACGTTAGTTGGCTTCCCGTGACGACGAACATATCTAGCAGTCTTCACAAATACTTCACTGAGCATGATCACATAGGCCACTATGCCTTGATCTTTGAGATCAGTAGTCCGAGCTCCATCAGTCATGTCGTTTGGTGAGCGAGACTGTGGCATGCTAGGACTCTCTGGGTAAGGTGGGAAGCTGCCATCTGGGAGATCCATATAGTCAAATTCCATTCCATGAAGGCGCTTGAGCAGGCAGATGCTCCAAAAGCATCGCCTACGCTCTTCTCGCGCCGCAGGCGAGAGAACAACATGAGACTCCGAAGCAAGGTTCGCACACTGTGCTAAATTCATAGCTAGGCTGCTGTGGATACTCGAGCGATGAGTATTTCCATCTATGAGTCCAGTTAGCGTAGACAAGTCAAGTTTCAGCAACTATCTTACTTGTGAAATCCACTAAGCTCAGAAGACATAAACATTGCAAGGTTGATAGCTCAACGGATCCTTCTGATACCCGTCTCATCACTAAACTGCGGGCCACTTCTGTATAACCGCTAGTGCGAGCTGCTAAATCATTGGAATCGCGATATTGATCCTCTGCAAATCGGGCACTCAAGGCAAGAATGGCGTAAATAACCTCAGGGTCACGATTTCCCAGACTACTGAGAAAACTGTCCCTATGAAAAAGAGGGAGAGGCTGCGAGTCGCAGTATAGCAAATACAGCTCTGCAATAGCAAGGACATTTTCCCACGTCGGAAGAGGTGTGAGTTGGCTCAGTGGTAAGGATGATGTTACGGAGCTACCAAGGGTAGGTGGCACAAAGGACATCGTTGTCTGTTGTTCAGATCTTTGGTTATTCCGACTGATGCAACTATTAGCAGTTCCCTGGTATGGCCTTAATGTGGTTGGCGTACCTTAAAGCATCCAGGACCTCGCTCATCTTTGATTCAAGGCTGCCTAAACGGTCCTCCTGTGGCGTATGTTACCAGACCTGCTTTCACAGGCTCCAACGGATTGATTCTTACCAAAGCTTGGGAAATCCTTATTTCTGGAGTAGTTAGCATAGGAGCTGGATCTCCAGGCCCAAGTCCATTTATTAGTGATCTTCTTCCTTCTTCAGCATATGCGCATGGCTGCTGTAGCCGTGCGCACAACGAGCAAACTGGCTGTTCTCCGGGGCATTTTGCCTTCTTGCGCCTGATTTGAACTCAGTCATTGTATTGTATAATTATTATGGTGGACTAACCTGCATGGCTCGCATGCCTGGCGCACTCGTTTTGCTGGCCGCCCAGCAGATGTACGGTTCATTTCCGCTGGAAATTAGTATGGTATGAATACCTGCGAGGCACTATCAGGATACCCGATGTTTATCATGACATAATGTGGAGTAGCATACCAATATATACTTGACTTAGAGCGACACTCGATCACTAAACAAAACATGCGATTAAGAGTAGCTCATATGTGCTAAGTATAGCATGACTACGCAAGCAAGTCATATGTACATTGCGATGCTTGTCGCCTTCTATATCGAGTGAACATTGTTGGTATGGATACAGTGGTTTAGCCGGTCAACATCCATTGGATGCAATCGCCGCCAAAATGGCTTACTAAGCTACAGGGCAGCTCTCGAAAATCATCCGGAGTCAGCTGATAGATGTTTTATACTAGCTATGAGCATTGCATTCTCTCCAAATGTACAACGGAACAAAGACATACGGATGTAATTGTTTCGTCTAGCCAATTCCCGACTACTATATAGAGGGATTCATCGCACACGTGCCGTCCGCACACAAAACAACAAGAACTCACTGGATGGCTTCTTCAAAAACGCACTGGGTATAAGTATCATGCAAGATTATTATAGTCTATCCATGGATACAGCGAGCCTGCAACCGGAAACTTAAGGATTGAGTTGAGGAAAGAATCCACACATTGACGCCCTAGCTTATCTTATATACAACGCTGAATATCTTTCTCTCAAAACAAGCCATCTTGAAAATAGAGATACACCACCAATCGCAACAATGTTGTTATTTTGTTTATTATGACAAACGTAGCTTGGCGAGAACCCCATTTATTCCTTGCCGAACCAGGTCTTGTGGCCCTGTATATAGTGTTAGTACAGTTGTCACAATGTATAGGCTGCTTTAGCTAGGAAGCCACGCATAGTCCAAGGAGTAGCAGGGCGACTTACGAAGACCATGCGGATCATAGCGTAGGTGGTAGCTAAGATAAGTTAGCATTTAAACAGGCATCCAGAATATGCAGACAACACTCACCAGCACCCAGGCCGTAGACGGAGAGGAGGTAGGGGTACATGACGTACTTGCTACGCTCGGTCTAAGTAGCAATTGAAGTAATTAGGATGTTGTTGTTCTCCGACATATCGTACACGCTTAATGTGTAGATCAACTGACCTTCCACCACTGACGCTTGCCGTCGTGCTGCTGGAAAAGACGCTGGTAGTAAGGGACACGGTTCTCACGGAACACGAATCTAGAGGAGCAAAATTGAGATATCAGCTTCGGCTGTATTCACCGGGGTCGACTGGGCACGACTCGGCCAATTGAGCACCAAATTCACCGGAGGAGCGGGACTCAATTGCTGGATCTGTGCGCGGATATGCAAATTAGGTAACAATTGAAAATTACATACCCGGCCATACGAGGAGCGGTGCGGAACATTTTGGCGGTGCGAAATGCGAAAGACTGAGGGGGTTGAGGAGAGAGAGACGACAATGGCAGGTGAAAGACTGGCAGCAGTGATCATTCGATGTCGTGAGGTGTGGATCCGAATTGGGAGTCGAATATCACGTGATTTTCCTGATCGCTCCGCCTTTCAGGTGCATTGCTTAGTAAATGATGGCTCTCATGTGATTTTTGAAAAGCCTAACCTAGAATAGCATAGCGCATTATCGGTCTCCGTCATTGCCAAAAAGTGTCCGCGATATCAAAGAGCTTCAGAGGCGATTAGAGACACTCCTTTTGACTCCCCGACCCTGATGAATTTCGACATATGAGGCATAGGCGAGGAGGATGATTACAATATTCGTTACTCTTTTCCCACCACTCTCTTTTCATCACTCATGCGACCGGCTCTCCTTCGATTACTGAAGAGACCATCAGCTCTCTCGGTTCTCGACTCTTTAATATCGGCGCCCATTGGAATTGAACAGCTAGAGTCCAGATACCAATGCGAGTGTTTACGACGCTACAGACAAGCCTCGCGGCAAGGCCGAAACGCACAGCCGGTCGAATCGGAGCCAATAGCTAGTGCTGATTTTGGTACACGACCTGCGCGACCACCGCTTAGTTTTCGTGTATATGAGATACAAGCGCCACGGACACAATCGAGGAACAACGGACAGACAAACTATGCATCCACTGATATACCTGCTACTGACTCACCACGGGGCTTATTTTTACAGCCGGAAAAACTGGAATTCGAGTCGGATATAGGACACACCAATGACATAGGGACTCGTCTAGTTGACGACCCGAACCGGCGGCACGACTTCGCTCTCTGGGAGGAATTGCTCCGCTACCGACAACGGCATTATGGAGATAGAGGTACATTGGATATCTGGGAGGGCTTAATGACCCGAGTGGAAGGAGTACAGCTTCCTGTTTCTGGGGACACAGCGGACTTTTTCTGGCAAAGCTTTGTGGAATTAGGCTTAAAACAGGAAGTTATACTGAAGGAGCTGGCGGATTATGCTTTTGAGCTATGGGTCAAAACCGGAAGGCGATGGGACAGATTCTACGAGAGTATCGTGGGAGGGTTCCTCGAACGTGGCTTGGCGCAGCAAGCAGTGGAATGGCACAAACGGCTTCGAGATCCCCATTTGTCCTGTCCGAATGACATCCTCAGTGTCCTTAAACCGGCTATAAATTCGTCCAACCCATTCTACGCTACATCTGCCATCCCGTGGAAGCCCAAACGTCATTTGATTCCCGCGGGGTTAAGGGCCTTCGAGAGTATCTGCCGTGCTACACACGGTCACAAAATCTACAGCCAAGCCATATCCACCGTGCTACAGAGTGATTACATTGATTATGCCCCCCGACTACATAAACTTTTGATCGAGCGAGGTGACCATCCGCAGTCCTACGAGGACATTCAGGCACTAATCGAACACACAAATGAGTATGGCTCTTCAGGGCTTATTCAGAAGCTCCATCGCTATGCTAGTGTTCGGTTCCCCGACCAGGTCGAAGCGATCAACGAAGACGAATCTGGCCCAAGAGGTGAGTTAGCAAGGCAGCCAGAGGATCAACCGTCAGACTCTCGTGGAAAGGCCTGGCTAGAGGAGAAGCCTTTCAAGGATGACTTCGGTGCCAGACTGTTCGCTACAAAAGCTCTTAGGTTTGAAATGATCCTCTCTGGATTACGAATGTTTGGCGTGACGACCATCGGGCCTCAGTCACTACGCGAGATGGCTATCCGAGCGCATGGTTGCCAGGATATAGCTGATAAGCTCCAGGAGCTTCAAAAAGCTGGGATTTCAGTAGGCGACAGTGTATTTGTACGTCTCCTTCACAAGTTAGCGACGGAAAACCGTGATATCCTCCTGTCCGATCTGCTTCACAGTGACCAGCATCCGGACGTTTTGGAGGACGCTCAGCTGCAAGAGTCGCTGTTGTTATCGTACTATGTCACTCGCGATTGGCGCCCGTACAACCTGACTTTGGCGATTCTTGGCCAGATATTTGAGGATAAATCGGACCTTGCCAACGTTCATTTTCGGAAATTTTTGGCGGCTGGGGAGTGGAAGATGGCCATCCAAGTTGTTGACAACATGGCCCTACGCGGCGCGACGCTGTCTCAAGAGAGCATTGACTTCATCGCTGAACGTGTTCTCATCCCACGCGCACCGGGCAAACCACCTCGGCGCGACGATATTCCTGCTACAAAAGAAATTAAATTTGTTTCTCACGCCCTGCGGCACGGTACCTATAACGGCGACCTGGCGGTTACTGAGCTCTGGGTTGAGGTACTGAAGCGCCTAGGGATGCTTAACCTTTGGGACGAACTACGGAAATGTTGTCTATGGCTAGCTCGCCAATATTCGTCTAGCTCCAATACTACTCGGTCCATCGTCTCCTATCCAAAGAAATCACAACGCGATACGGGCGCTCTGGCCCAGCAGCATGGGGACCCCTTACTCCGGAAGATCTTCAGTCGGAACATGCAGGCTGCTATTGTCGCCTGGGGCTTTAGGACGCGGGTTTCTCAACAGCGGAAGTGGATGGTCAGCCACGGGGATCCGCATGAGAGCCTGATCCCTTGGGTACGCGGTCTTGTACTTCTCCGTGAATTAGAAAAAAATGGAGTTCACCTCTCGGTGACATGGATCCGCCGGGCTTGCCGGCATCGCTTGGCAGTACTCTACGGACGGCATGGATTGGTCAATCGTCGGATGAACCGCATGTTGCGGCACGAAAATCCCTACAGCGTGGTGCGAGTGCTCGAAGACATCAATCTTGCCTGGGGCGAGCCATCCTTGTTTGGGGACCGGGAGGTTCGCGATATCAAGGGGTTGGTAAACCCTCCCAACCGGACGAGGCGGAGAAGGGTTAAGAAGGTGAGGTCAGCTTACCTACAAGGAGCGGGTTATTCTCGTATGAGAGAATTGTATAATAGTAGCGCCAAACGGGACTCGCATGTATGATATAATGAGGGCAGAAGCATAGATAAAGTTCTGCTCTACAATAGATAATGTTCTCCTGCACATGTTCAGACCTGTCCACTGGAATGTTATGTTCCGAAACAAACGCGAGAGTCCCCCTAGCCGAATCACAATCATTGATAAGACGTCGTACGGAGTACTTCCTGTAGTTTAGGGCATTCTATGAGGAATACCTCATGATGCCAAGCACCCGTCTGGAAGGGTCGGGACCACAGCAACGGCAAAATAGGGTTAAATGGTTGGCTGAGCCACGCATGGCGCGTCACCACAAAGCCTTGTCTTTCTAAGAATAGTCGCAGAGGCAACGCGGCCACCAGTTTCCTTCCCTAATAAAATACCGTCCCCATGGCCCACTATCACACTCGGATCGACGACATGCGTCTGAGGCCTCCCAGTGGAGATCCACTAGCGGTGTGTTGTTGCCTTGGGTGAACGTTTGACTCTTATTTATCTATTGTAATTGAAGGAGTGGGGTTTGTTTCTTGGATCGTGGTCCTCAATCTCTTCAACTCTGTATCAGATTCATAGACTGGTCGGCATTCCTCCCTGAAACAAACAAGTCTCTTGATCCCAGTACTCCATATCGCACGGACTACCACGTTCTAGTCATATCAATAGTTCCATTGCATAGTACATCTCCACCTCCTTCCCTTCCTTCTCCTTTTCCACTGCAGCCGTTGCATATTTGACGCTGCTCATCCTGGTCATTGACCGTTACCATCACATATTACGCCGCTGTCAATATGCTAGGGTTTGGCCTCTTAGCTCTGCTTCCTTTTGCTGCCGGAACGGTGCTCCCGCGGCAAACAGCATGCAATAACTCACCAGATTTATGCTCGAAATCTTACGGCGAGATCACTCATCTGGGTGCACATGACAGTCCTTTTGTACGAGATGCGTCGACTGGCTATTCGACGTCGGGGAATCAGTAAGTTTGACCAAGGGCGATTCCGTTATCCCCTACTTATAGTTACTAATCGTACTTCAGGTATTTCAATACTACGGTGCAGCTCGACGCTGGCGTTCGCTTGATCTCGGGCCAGGTCCACAAAAAAGATAGCGAATGGCATTTGTGTCATTCTAGTTGTGAGTTGCTGGACGCAGGGAAGCTGAGCACATGGTTGTCCGAAATCAAAAGCTGGTTGGATTCCAACAAGAACGACGGTATGTTAATCCTGTATATTATACCCTCCTTGTCTCTCTGTTGGTCGATAATCAAAGACTGGTGCTGACAACGGTTCCCATTCCTAGTGGTAACGCTGTTACTGGTCAACTCTGACGACGCTTCTGCCTCTGATCTCCATTCGCAATTCCAAACTGCCGGCATCGTCGACTACGCATACAAACCCACCTCCCAGACCTCCGCGCCGAGCTCGTGGCCGACGTTACAAAGTCTTATCGACGATGGAACTCGATTAATGACATTTGTGGCATCCTTGGATGCATCCAAGAATACCGTGGCCCCGTACCTTATGGACGAGTTCACCTACATTTGGGAGAACCCTTACGACGTAACGAACCCCTCCAACTTCTCCTGCAACCCCGACCGTCCATCCAGCCTCCAGAACGACCTGTCGTCCGCGCTCTCGTCGAATCGTTTACCCTTCATGAACCACTTCCTCTACCAGACCGTTCTCACCCTGGAGTACCCCAACTCCAGCTACGTGTCGACCACTAACGCGCCGTCCGGCGGAACCGGCAACCTGGGCGATGCAGCCACCAAGTGCAAACAAGCCTACGGCCGCCAGCCAGCCTTCATCCTAGTTGATTTCTTCGACAAGGGCCCCGCCATCAAGACCGTGGACAGCCTGAACGGTGTCACCAATGCCGTGGGCCGGACCAACCTAACGGCCGCCACCCAGACCAGCGGTGCCTCGACCTACTCTAACGTCTTCAAGGGACTGGTTGAACTGGTGCAGAGCGCCAAACTGGGCTCCAACCCCAGCATGGGCGAATGGGTCTGGGTGGGAGGCGATTGGGGCAGCCTGCTCGGCGGCGGCATCACGCTCTAAGAGGAAGAGATGCTTCCGACATTCGTCCATATCGTTTCTTCATTCCCCATTTTTTCACCATGTTAAAGTGTTTAATTGGCGACGGACCCGCTTGAAATCAGCGCTGTTGCTTTTCGAGGCTGAAATCTTTACGGATTAGCCTCGCTGTCGATATTATTGAGAGAAGTCACATGTACACGGGAACACAGGAAATCGGCGTTTTGGGTGAGCCATGACTTGACTTTGAATATAGATGAGCCTTCTTTGTGTTGTCCATATATCCCCACCATCTTCATACCATACCATGCCATGTACGTAGCAAGCGTCAGATATTACCTAGAAATGGAACATACCCGAACAGACCCTCACATCCCAACGCTGGTAAAACACCGGAGAAAGAAAAAAGGATTACAAAACCACTTACTCCTTCCCCAACAGCTCCCGGACCTTATTCACTTTATCCTCGAACGACTGCTCCTTATCGATTCTGTACCACCCGACATCAGCCCTCGTCACCACAAACGCACCACCATCCCAAGAGGGGTTGACGGCGCACAGTGACCGCACCCAACCCCCACAAACCACCCCGGAGAAAGAAAGAAAGGAAGGAAAAGAGAACCAACCTCGACCCAACCCTCACATCCGTCTGAATGCGCACAATCCCCTGCTGATGCAGAATGGTATGCGCCTGCCCAATCACCTGATGCACTCTGTCCCAGGGCCCCTCTGAACAAACATGCCACAAACACACCGGTCAGCTTCGCAATCGGACCAATACCAGGAGGACAAACAACGCATCAGGAGTGGGACGCAATCAGTGCATCGCTTTTCATACCGAGGGTTGTGCCGGCGCTGTGCATCACGTACTTGAGGCCGGATTTCTCGACCAGGCGTTGGACATCGGCGATTTGGGCGGAGACGGACGGGGAGGAGGTGCCGATCTGGACAGCGAATGCGCGCGTTCTGGATTAGTTTGGGATGGTCTGATTTACTATGATCCGGTGGAGTTGTACGTGTTGCATGGTCGGGTTGCATGTATCGTGTTGGTTTTTGCCGGGACGGATGGAAGGGTTCTGGAAGGGAGACAGTCGGATCTTACCGGGATTAGGCAGAAGTCTGCGGTGCAGTGGGCTGGTGTTGGGATCGAGGAGATGTCGGAGGAGGCCATTGCGGTGGTGTTGTTCGGTGGGTTTTTTTTGGGTTGGGTGTGGTGAGTTCGATTAATGGAGTGATTTTGGACAATGGGAATTAATCCGGTTCGGATTGGAATATCAAAAGTTTAATCAATGAATAGGGATTGTGTGAGCGAGAGAGAGAAAGAATTCAATTGACTTGGTGATGTTGACGTTGTTGAACACTAAGACGCGGGGCAAAGGAACTTAAATCCATGCATGGAGGGGCCCTTAATGGTTCGTTCTACTGTTCAGCTGGTATTGTCTCCAGGGCGATCTTGGATTCTATAGATAAAACGATCAAGGTATTCATTTCTTGTTGGTGCTTCTCTGATTCCTCTTTTCATAGACGTTTACATATGTCTACACTGACAGGTATCCAGTCAAGTGATTGATATACAACACCCCACTACTCAGTCATCCAAATCACTACTCGTGACGGCCATCTTCATTGGGGCCGACAGGAACAGTCTCCACAGCTGCTAAACATGTACGATGCAATCTGATTCGAGGCAACGTGCCATTCACAAATGGACTCCGGTTGGATAAGCCTTGCCTGGTCGCTGCGTCGTTTTTTTTTTCTCAGTGGAATGTCGAATTTTTTTTTTAATTTTAATTCATACCCCAGATCGGGTTGTGCCATCACTTGCGACTAAAAACCCTGATCCCCGTCGGAATCTAATGATCCTGGAGCCGATTTATGCTAGTCAGAGGGGATCGGCGGTTTCGAGTCTCTCGCAACTTCTACACTACCAGGGGAGCGACACAAACATGTTGCCATTGACCATGAACGCAACCGAGGGTAAAGAACTGATTATATGGAAAGAATGAAAAAGTTAAAAGGATGATCACCAGCCAGCCTTCTCCAAGCTGACCGTATAACTAACTAACCAGAAAGTATTAATAAACCTGCCATTGATTGTCAACCATGGAACCAACTTGATTTTATTTAACCCTTTTCGCGGGGTCCCTCTGTTTTTTGTTTTTATTTATTTTATTTTTTTTTCTCTCCCACTTCAGTCCACTTGTTAAACTAGACCCTGCGTCATTGTACATCTGGACGTGATCGTCATCGTGGTCAGCCCTGTTGAGCGGAATTGATCCCTTTTTTTTTAACCGGGCAAGGCTTTGAAAGGTCAACTCCAACTTCATGTACTGAACGGTGACCGAAGCCTCCCGTCCCGTCTACACAGTCCACTATCCGGTTCGGTTTCTCTGTTCTGAAACAAAACCATAGTGCTCTAACAAGGACGACTGTTTTTCTACTCCTGCACTTGATTCTCAGTGCGACATTCGTTTCTGGTTCCTTGATATCTTAGTTCCGCACTCTCATTCGCCCAGAAACGAAGCGGTGATCGCGGTTGTGGCAAACCACTGGGATATTCTCACGCCGTCGCTCTGACCTCTTCGAGTGCGCAGTCTTTCGTATAGCTCCTTGACTACCGTCCTAGCCTGGTCTACCTTCACATGATTTTGTGGAGAATTTCCATTCTTCGTGATTGTTGACCCATCGAGCGGTCATAGGATTATTTATTGGCCTGTCCCGTCGAGTACAGCGTCGCTGACCGCCTATCGCCGTCAACGGTGTGCACAAATCACTCTATCTAAGCACAGCTTGCCAGTGGTTTGCATTGGTAGACGTCTGTGTGCCCGACGCCCTGATCGTGTTCACATCGGACTCAACTCTTACTGGTGTAATCCACTCGACCTACTTGCTTCGTTCGCAAGGTGCATGCGACTCATCGTCTGCCGGCCGAGGTGATTTCCTGGAACAATATCAAAGTCTCTGGTGAAGTTGTCTCGGCAGACGTGATCTGATTGGTACATCCAGTCGCCTCAGGTTCCCAAGGCCAACGCCACGCCTGCTGATACGACAAGAACCCTGCACCACGCTGAAAGACTAGATCGCAGACTCTCCACTAAACGTTATCGGCTGGACATTGTGTTTTAGAGAATCACCCCCGTGGTTTCTCCCCTGTCCCAACCTAGCCAATCCGCTCCGCAAAGATAGTACAGCGGCATTGAGAGGTCATATAAAATTACCCTGGGAATTGTATCCTCTTTTGTCCGCACTGGATTGGGCCCAAACATCATACAGGCCAATATAAGAACAAAGCCGAGGCAAGACGCCCAAAAAAAACATAATAATATAACATTCGGTAGCCATCCTGTTTTATTCTAGGCTTGCTGCTGTGTTGGGCTATTTTACAATCTCTTAGGAGGCTCTATCGTCCGGGTGAGATTATCGCACCGGGGTACTTAGAATTTCCTTTTGCTTTTTCCATCGCCCCTATAACCCCTGCTAGCTCCTGAAACTATTTAGTCGCAGCGCACCTAAACTGCAAGGGATTAACACCTGACGGCGTCGTTGGTTCTTTCCCCCGACACGCGCAACACCATATTACTGGGGTTGTAGGTGTGTGGAGCAATCCGCTGTGGCCATGCTTCTTCCGCACAAAATAATCCTAGTTCACTACCTCACAACTTAACGGATGACCAAGCCCAATCTGTTAGAGCTCCCAATAGGGGCTCAGCTCGTCTATCTGGCTGAGGGCGGTGCCAACGTGATCTATCGCATCGTCTCGCCGAAGTCGGCTATTGCGTCGAAGAAAGAGTTGCCGCTGGTGGTTAATGGTGCGGACTCCTGTAGCGTCCCACCCGAGTTTAAAGGGAAGTTGCTGCGATTGCGCAAGGACACACCGTCTGGGATCCCTTACCAGGAGATTGCTCGAAACTTTGACAAGAATATTCGCCCTCTCTTCAAGCCGGAGGAGCTGGTGGATCAGGAGCTGGTATGTCTCCCACGGGGGCTGATCCAGCATTGCAATGATCAACTGCACGTCGCCGAGATGGACGGCAAGCGCCCCAAACGACGTCAAGGCGTGTATCTGGCCACTGCCGAGCCGTTCGGACTTCTGATTACCGACATGACCACCTTCAACGACACGGGAATGGTTCTGGCCGAATTGAAACCGAAGTGGCTTCTGCAGTCACCATCGGCGCCGGCTACTGCCCGCAGATGTCGCACGTGCGCCATGCGTGATATGAAGAACCACGAGGCGTGGACGAGGGGTGGGAAACCAGAGCGATCGTTTTGCCCGCTCGACTTGGTCTCGGACAAGTTCGAAAACGTCCTGCGGGCCACTCGGTCGGTCAAGGGCTGCAAAGATTCAAAGCAGCTGGCGAAAGTGCTGTATTGGAACGGGACAATGCAGAAGCTTCTCGCTCACCAAAGAGCACATCGCGATGTTGGGCTGCACGGCCCGGCGGCGCAGTCTCGGGACAAGTCACTCGCAATGACCCTCCGAGACTGCACGATGTTCATCAAGGTACGTCATTTCTTGCTCTCTGCGAGAGTTCTCTAACGTGGACAGATGCCGCGCGACGAAGTGGGCACTGTTGAAATCCGTCTCGGTGATCTGGATCTGAAGACTGGAGCCGGTGGCAAAGCGAAATACTGGCTGGACGTGGAGACGCAGTTGATCTCCGAGGGCTGGTACTTGGGGTCGAAGAGCTGTTCGCATGTGAGCGATTGTGCATTGCAAGGATCCCGAGGTCATTCGCAGCCATCTATCTAGCCTTCCGATTCTATTCTAACTACTTTCAAGGCCTTTAATCATCTTAAGTCGGCAGTTGAGTCACGAAGATCGCATGACGATGGACTGCACTCTATCTTTTAATAATATGCAAGTTACGTCCGGTTTTATGCATTTGGGAGGTATCCGTCTTTCGGTTTTCGGTCTGCATGTTGTGTACATTAGGTGTTTTAAATTTTTATCTAGGTAATACACAAGTTTAGAGAAATCTTAAGCTTAACCTGCACACTTAAGTTGTGCAATGATGTTCGTTTTATACATCGTGACTTGATTGTCAATGAACAGATGCTCTATCCTAATTCATCCTCCCAAGATGGTGATTTTCTCATGAACTACCAACTAGCAGGCTACTCCATGGCATATGTGCAAGTTAATCAACATCGAACGAGGCTGCAATTGCTGCCCTCTAGGCACCCATGCCTTTATTTTTCAAGTAACCATTACGCAATAGATGGACTCACATTCCCAGTCCTTCAGAAAATACATATTTCAACATGATCACAGCATAAGTCATCACCAAACATATCCATCCCTCTATATCCACAGTTTAAACACTATACTGAGCTTCGTTCACCATGCCAGACAAACAGAGATCCACTGAGAAGAAAAAAAAGAATACAGTACCTTGACTTCACAGTCCTCCACCCAAATCCAGTTCACACAACTACAAACAAGAATAAATACAAATATCAATCAATATATCGACCCCCCCAGAACTGCACCAACCATACCAAACCATCCTCCCTACCCAACAAAACAACAAAACAACATCACAGAAATACATACATACATACACCCCTCCCTCCCTCCCTCCTTCCTTCACTCAAGAACCACCGACTCCGCCCAGCACCAGTCCCGATAAAGACCTACTCACCCAGCCAAAAGCCGTGCAACGGGAATACAGAAGCTTGTTGATTTTACTCATGGCTTCGTGCAACGTGTCTGGGTCGGGAGTGGAAAGCTTGTACTATGTTCTTGGTATTTTGTTCTTGGGTGGGTGGGTACGATGTAGTCGGTTGTGGTTGAATGATGGACGGGTTTTGATTATCTGGTTCAGCTGGGTTGAACTGGTTCTGGGGACTGGGGTTTCAATGTTGTTGTAAGTGGACCGGTTGCTCTGTGTTAGAATATGAGGGTATTTAACCACTGGATTGTATGGTTCTATTTTTTGTCCTGGTATACTTTCATATCATCTACCGTTCATTGCCATATCCAACCCCAGGGTATACAAATATAGTATTCTAGGAAACCCTAGGGTAGTTGGGATACAAAGACAAAATAAGACTACCCCCTTTCCTACAAATATAAACACAGAATGCAATGTAGAACCCAAGATTAGATCAAGATTAGATTAGCTAGTTCGCGAGACAGATAGCCTAAATCCTGTCATGTTTTCAGAATGATTAACGATTAAACCCAATATGGAGGAGTATACGTTATCAGGAATCTTATACCCCAAAGAACACAATAAAACCAGTTGCAGGTCTAGAACCTTCACTCTGGCCTGATTTAAACTATACCCTTGCCTAACTGGCATTGGCTTACTCTTGCTCCTCAGTACTCACTACTTACTAGGAGATAATATACATATATGTATACAGACAGACATGATACATGATACATGATACAACGCTACACAGAGACAACTATACAAATATACAAGAGACAAATATAAACCCAAGCACAGACCCAACAACTACACGTAAACCAAACCAAACCAAACCAAACACACATATGCATACGTACATGCACACATCCCTAAACTATAACATATATACCGGACCAACCACCACAAACAAACAACTCCCACCCTTACCTATAACAGAGATTAAAAGATGAATCAAAAGAAAAAGAAAAAAAATCTACCGTCTCCTCCCCGCTCCCGCCATAGGCGCCGACGGGAAATTGTACTCCTCGCTCCAGCTATCCTTCGCTGGTAAGTACAGCGCACAGTCCTTGAAGAGGTCTCGTATTGAGTGGAGGAGGTTGGAGAGGTGGGTTTTTAGGGACATTTTTCCTTTCTTTTTCTTTCCTCTTTCTTTCTTTTTTCTTCTGCTTCTCTGTTTGGTTGGATATGGTTTGGTTTGACCTGATTGATAGTATATAATCTGGTATCTCCTCGAAATAACCCTACAGTAACCAGACAATAAGCAAACCACCTCCATCCAACTCCACAGGGCAAACAAAACACGACTACAAGAAACATAGATAAGTACATACGTACCTGAGCTACACAAAATGTGTACACCGTATACCGTCTCGTCTCGCGGTTGGGCCTTATAACAAGCCCCTCTATGGCTACGGAGGTGATGATGCTGCTGTGTTACCTTGATATAAAACCTCCGCTTCACTATACTCCACTCCACTCCACTCCCACTGATATTGACTTGGTTGATTGGATGGAAGAAGTATGTATATTTCTTTTGTTTAGATGTGTGTTTTCTTGGCTGGAATGAATGAAGGAATGTCTTGGCCTGTTAAATTAATTAATGATTCTCTTATTCTGGTTTTCTTCGTTCGAAAGGTATGGATATATATTGTGATGGATATTAGACTTACAGTGGGTATTAGGTACTGAATCCGCACTTCCCCTCTCTCAGGTACCGTGTTTGAATCCTCCGGTCCGGTTTAGAAGGATCAGGATGGAGGAGAGTTCCTTTCGTGGAGGATGGTTACAGTGACCAGAGGTGCATGGCTGGTGACGTGTCGGTGAAGTCAGGACGGATTGGAATTGGGATGAAATTTATTTGATCTCTTGTGAAGTAAGTTCGGGCCGGACCGAGATCGGGGAAATGGAAGAGTTGACTGTGGAGTGATGTCGTATGGTAAATAGTACGAACTGCTATCATCCATGGTTCATCACCTGGTGTAACCGGCAACCAGAGGATACGAACTGTCAGATTGTCGATGAAGTATTTCTTACAAGTTGGCCAGGAGTTCTTGGCTGTCTTTAACTTTGTGCCAAGTGATGAAGTCGCAAGCTGCTTGATCTCAGATTCCACGTAGCACTCTACCATGGACCAGGGGATTCAATCCAAAACTGTCAATAATATAGATTCGATTATCAAGGCTAATCCGAAAGAAATAATAAACACCGCTATACTGCTATGATGCTATACCAGCAAAAGAAAAGAACGCAGACATCCAAACGTCAAACCCTACCATACGTCAAGCCCTAGCGACCCCGACGGTACCACTGCGCTTCGGCCTCACCCAAGCATTCACCGACAGTAGTCACTGTGTGTCTGTTAGCTTTCTGCCATTTCACAGAGAGGAAAGGAAAGGAAGACATACTCCTGAACCCTCTCGCGCTGATCTCCTCCAGCATGCGCTGAGCGAGATTCACCACCGTCTGCTCATGGATATCGTGGGCCAGCACGATGGTGCCGCCGGCATTCAACTCGTTAACGAACTTCTCATAGCTGATGTCGATCCGTGTGGGATCATCATTCTCGTAGTCCTTAGTATCGATACTAGATTCAACAACCTTGTAGCCCAATTGGCGCATAACCGCCAGGACCTGTTCATTGACCTCGAAATACGGCGGCCGCATGTAGGTGGGAATATCTCCCATAGCCGACTGCAGCACGTCCTCAAGGCTCGTCATCTGTTGCACGATCTGCTCGTAGCTCAGGGAGGGGAGGTTGGCATGGTCCAACCTGCAGGGGTCAGTTCTCTTCCGAACAAGAGCCTGGGCGCGCCAGCGGGGTACGTACGTGTGTGATCCGACCTGGTGGCCTTCGTTCCTCATACGCCTGATGATATCGGGATATGTCTGGCTGCCTTCTCCAACCATGAAAAAGGTGGCCTTGGCGCCGTACTCGTCCAGCAGGTCCAGCAGTTGCGGGGTGTAGCCGGATGGGCCATCATCGAAGGTTAGGGCAACGGTGTTCGGGGTGGTGCAGCGCCTGATGACCTGGCCGGTAGGGACGGCGGCAACGGCGTTATCCAAAGGTGCGCACAGGGCATGAGGGGTAAGAGTCATAAGAAGAGAAAGAGTGAAGAATTTATACATCTTGTATATATGTGCGGAAGACTGATGGGGTATAAATGGAGTGTATAGTGAGAGTAATCACTGCAATGACCGAGAATACTGGTGCAAGATGGACAGCGAAGATAAACGAGAGAGAAAGGATATATACGAAGCGAAGGCAAGTGCTTGTTGTGCAAGAAGAGGCAGGAAAGCAGTCAGTCGATGTTGCTTAAATAGTCTAATTCATCTGGGACCAAGCAAAGACTCATGATATCCGCCCAAAATAACAATGGTGAATATCCTGGTGGCGCTCTAAACAAGGTTACACATTTTTATGAAAAAGAACCAGCTCGCAGAAGCAAATCTTTGGTATATCCCAGTATTTATCTCTCCAGAAAGCGAGTCGGCCTGATATAGAGTGAGCATTGACTTCACATGATACCTGTCGATACACCAAACAACCAGCTCATTGGCCAGGGCTCGGAAATTGAGCTTTCAGATCGACCGACAGCTGTAGGCGGTGGTAATCCTCCGGTGCGTATATTTACTCTCCATGCAAGGGGGACTGAGTGGGCTTACAGCCAGAACGAGTGAGCCGAACCTTGTTGATATAACGCTACTATCCCTGTCGTTAGATGCTCGCTTTGACGCGACGAATAACCCATTGGCTACGAGGGCATACGTATTTATAGAAAACAAAGAAAGAAAGAAAGAACGGAGGCGACTCTCGGATCTCGCGATATCCAAGCACAGGCGTGCGAAGCAGTTGGTGTGCTGGCCGTCAGACAGTTGCATGGCGGCGCATTGCCGAAGTAAAACAGAACGCCATTGAACCCAACGTGGAAGGGGCATGTCTCCATGGCAGCCAGCGCCTCGATGGTACCTGAAAGTATCATTCTGAGACCCTCGAGTCCGCAGGGGTATGTCGCAAGGAGGGAATACACCACCTGATAGACGAGCAATGGAATCCCCACTTGCGTCTAGAACCAGGCTGTGAGGACAGTCCGATAGCCGAGGTATGGGGTGGCATCTTACAAGCAATATCCCTTTCACTCTAGACTCATCCCTGTGCTCTCGTGGGAAGGGTTGGGCATCAATACACGGGGTGCTGTCGACCTGGAGACGGAGAACTCGGGAAATAATATCTGTCCAAAGTTGTATCATCACAGTAAAGCTATTAACGTCCAATTGCCTTCATCTCTCAGCACCTCATAAGAATTAAGTACGAATACATGGTACACGAAGTTATGAAACTATAGCAACAGAGATCCAATCGATCACTTTTCTCCAATTGTTCCATCTCCCTTCCCATCTCCCGCCGTGGGAGATTACCCTCTCTTGGTATACTTCTTCATGGAGCGCTTCTGGCCCCGCTCCCGCTCACGCTCAAGGAACTTCCGCTGCTCCTCAGCATTCATGCCACGCAGGATGCGCTCCCGCTCCTCCTTCTTGATCTTTTCCGCTGCTAGCTTGCGTTCCTCGGCCTTCTCCTCCTCGTCCGCACGACGGAGCTTCTTGATCTCCTCCTCACGCGAGTGGCGGACCTTACGCATCACCTCGGCGCGGAAGTGAGCCACGGCGACGAGTCTGTCGGCGAAACGAAGAAATTGGTTGAATAGCGGAATGGAAGAAGCGTAGCCAGAAGCGGATGAGGGAAGGGTCAAGCAGATATGAACACGTTTGCGAGGGACGGCCTCCTCGATCCTATTGCACGAGGTCAGATAAATCGCAAGGGCGTTCGTTCAAGTAACTCACTTCAAAGGCTTATCGACAGGCTGGTCAGAGACAATGAGGTACTTGAAATCATCGCCGGCCTTCTCAACGGCCTGGATCAATTCCGGGGTGAGCAGCGTTTCGGTAATCTCGGCACTTTCCGTCATTACGGTCACCCAAGGTGGGAGCTTCGGGTTCTCCTTGGTGAAAGTCATAGAAGCATCGTAGCGGTCCTGACGGAACTGACGCATGTGGTTCTTGTGCACAATGGCCCAGATAAATCCATCGTAGGTCGAGTTGTTCACCTTGAGAGAAGAGGTATCCTTAGCCGGGACCGGAACAACGTCCTTCTCCTTGCCATCGAAAGTGTACGCAATGGCCTCGTAGGTCTCGGTGGGGCTAGTCCAGCTCTCGAACAAGAAGCCGCAAACAACGTCCATCCAGTAGGTGATCGGGTTGTAGCGCTTAGGCAACTTGATGGCGACGTCAACAAAGGCCACGTTCTGGCGGCCAGTAGCGTAGGAGATGAATTCCTGGGGACCCTTCTCCTTCAGGATCGAATCGGGGGAGGACAGCACCGCGGAAGCCTCATCCTCGGACTTTTGGATGCCATCGAAACCGACGACCGCGAACTCATTCTGGAGCGAGGGCGCATGAGCTTGGGCCCATTCCCGAGCCTTGCGGCGGTTCTTCCGCGTGCCCCAGAGGTGAAAGACTACAATGATCAGGATGAATGGCATCACCATTGCCTCCTGGAGAAAGTCCTTGGGGGACGTCCGCTCCCAGACTCGGTACCATTTCGTATACGGAACGGCGCTGACACCCGGGGTACTCGACGCAGGAACGCCAGAGGACACAGCTGCTATGATCGAGGCAGGAGAAGGCTCTGGTGCTTTCACAAAGTCCGCAAAGTCTGATTGGCAGGACGACAAACGGTCAGTCAACGGTCCAGCCCCAATAGGGGCAATCAATACCCCAACCCAGTTCGATTACATCAAGACTTACCATCCTCAACCTTTGCTGACCCCGACGGCTGGGAGCCGCCAAACATGTTCTTGAACATGCCCGCCATGATGTAGAGAAGGGAGAAGGGGTGAGCACTGGCGGGTTCGGGGCTGTCAAGAAGATGGCGACGTGGCGGAGAAGGAGGCAGAAAGGGAACGGGAAGGTTGTCGGCTCGAATTGACGTTCGTCGCAACAGCGATCGGAGCGAACCTCACTTAGTCTGTGGAGCCGAACTCTGGGCATTTTTGACATTTAAATGACCGCCAACCTGAGAGATAAGGCCAACGCCGCCCCAATCCAGCCTAGTCTACTTTACGGATCAGGTAATGAGCTCAATCTTGGAATCTTCGGGCGCAAATTCGCATTCAATGAAACGGCCAACTCAAGGGAAAACATTCTGTGCAGACGCAGTATACTCAAAGCAAAGAAAATCAAGATGCAAGAAAAGCCAGATAACTCTTTTGACCCACTTCCCAATCCATACCCAGATCCAGTCCAAACCCACATGTAGAATACAATACAGAAAGAGCGAAGTGGTATACTGCACAGACAAGCAGATAGGTAACTCTCACAAAGATAACAGAAACGCCAGCACTTTTGGTACAAACAAACTATCTAAACTCGCTCCAAAGAGAGGAAACAGGAATAATATATAACACAAACACAAAAAGTACAAGACAGGCTGCCAAATTAAAAGTTATGTCGTATCAGTCATTAATATCGCCAGACTCGCTGGGGAACAAAGGAAAGTGGAATGAATGTGAAGTGCTCTTGAATGCAATCAAGATGCGTTTCGGCGTACATGGTTCATTGACCATAAGCTGGCGGGGGATATTCTTCATGGTCAGGACGGCCCCAGAAGGCACCCCCACAAGAGCTAGTGGGCATCAGCTTCTCGTCCCGCATGCGACGAGCAATTTCCCCTGCTAGTCGCTCAACCAGAGCTTGATCGACAGTACTGGGGCTGGACTTCTCGTTGGTGAATGGGAGGATAGTCGAGGGCAGCTGGCGTGTGGGAACGGTCTCCTGTTTCTCATTGTCTCGTCGGGCGGCAATGTGAGCGCGGATACTGCCTCGGGGAGTTGCATCAACATCTCCAGGTTCAGGGCGGTGTCGTGGAGGCTCTGCGGAGGGCCCTCCAGCTTCGCGGAGCATCTCTGTGGCGATGTCGCGACGAGGTAATGGCCGCGAGAGACTGGCGCGACGCCGCTCGGGAATTACAGGAAGACGGAAATCGCTTTCCGGGGACAAGGGTGGCGTGATGGGGTCAGGTTGTTCGTTGACCACAGGCAGGGGTGCCGAGCATATGGACGGGTTGCTAGCGGTCTCTGTATATGCACTTTCGTCGCTCACACTCGCCGTATCACTCGTAGTCTTCGGACGTCGTAGATCCACCACGCGCTTCTTGCGCTTCCTTGAATGTGCTTTCGAATGGCGACCAGCTCCCAAATTCAAACCATAGCCACTAAAGGTATGTGTCGAAGCTGAAGATCGACTCTGGGATGACACGATGCTAGCGCTGTCCTGGAAGGACGACATGCTGCCAACCTGGGAATGGGTCCTGGAGAGCATGGGGCTTAGCGGAGACGTAGTATTGACATTATCACCCTGTTCAGAAGGCGAAGTCCACGCCCGATAAACTACTTCCTGGATGGAGGGAGTGAAAAGAGATAGCGTTCGCTGAGAATCCGTAAGTGCAGCCAGCCGGAGAAGGTTCTTCTGTGAGAACAGGGAATGCGCTTCGACGGAGGAATCCAGGGAGAGCGATGCGATTTCCGATTCATCCAAGGCGTTGCCCAATGAATCTACTGGGTCCTGAGGAGGGCTTGCCAGCGGGTCTTGACCAGGACCTTCACCCGCCGTCTGGTCGGCCTGAGTTTCTATATCGTCACCCGCCCGGTACTCGGGAACCCACAGTCGTAGGGATAGTCGATGAATGATGGCGGGCAGTTCATCCATGAATAAAATGCGCAGCTGAGCCTCTATTTCTCTCTGTAAAAAGTCGCGGACGAACGGGATCGAATCGAACGTAGATGAAACTTTAAGCGATTCAAGCGGATCATTTCGGAAAACCACGGTAATTCCTTTCTGTTTCGAGAAGACGAGAATCACGAAGCCGGACAATTTGAAATCGGATAGTGTAATTTGGAGGGGAATTGTGAGGGGAGTTCTGCAGTATCAGGCACGACTGGTGAGCGACATCGACCAAGGAGTGCGACAGAAGTATTACTTACGCTGCAGCCAAGGGTAGTGGCGAGGCAAACGAGGGTCGTGTGAGAAGATAGGTATTGAGAGGGTTCGCTTGAACGCGCGTTTTCAAAGTCAGGAAAGCATCGCCAGTGTAAGACATCTTGAAGATGCCTCGAAATCGATCCTCCGCCAAGTCACCAATCTCTAATATCTCCAGATCCGGCGGAATGGAACCCAAGTTAAGCTCGGTTACGATAATATCGTCGACGATGATCGGGGGTTTCGGCGATTTATTCAAAGCGGCAGTTAAGAGATCTTGGGCGCGAGTATAGAAACTCGCGTCCGCCATCAGCGGCGACCAGTTGAAGTTGAACGCCATAACCGATCATTGAGAACGGATGGGTTGACTCAAGAAGACCCACGGCGTCTAAAGGGAAGGAAAAAATACAAGGGAAATTACAAGGTAGACGATAACATGGGGAAAAAGGGGAGAGAGGGAGAGAAGAGGAGAGAGGCGAGGTCGGAGAGAGTGGTGGAGAGGGGAGCAGGTGTTAGCGATGATAAGCCGGAAGTGAAGGGAAAAAGCGAAGAAAAAAAAGGGCTGGATTGGATGAAAAGCTCAAGAGATTCCCGAGGGTCTCCCACAGGGTATGGACTCGCGTGATCTACGCGGCGCACGAGCACTCTTGGACGGTTTTGATTCTCTGGTATTACGTTTTAGTCTGGAGTAAATTCTATAAAATCATGTCCATTCAATTATTTTTATTTAATGCTACGAGATTAAACACCTAGAAGGTGTTCTAGAAAAGTTCAAGTTCTAGTGTTCTTCAAAGGCGGAACGGAAGAGAGAAAAAAAAAAAAAAAAAGATCCAAGGGGAAATTGTCAAAATTTCCAAAAATACGTCACAGCGCATCTGACCTCATTTTAGGTCTGGAACCAACGATTCAAGTAATATGACAAGTTCACACCCAGAATAATATACTTTCTCGGCTTTCCGATTCCCCCCGACCGTAATTTATGAACCATTGCAACCGTTAGTTGTCCATACAATACTTACTCAATACATACTACCAGAGCCATGCCGTATGATCTTCATTAGCTCCAGCTACTAAGTAATGCTCGCATCTCTTTCCCTCCGCCCATCGGCATTTACATCTCTTCTGACTGGACCTTCCCGTCAGCCACTGCATTTCTGTTTACGGACCCGGCATCGAGCGGGCCAGAAACAGCATCATCCATGTCGATCTGTTTAGAGATTGCCTCCTGAATATGACATGACTCAGAACATCTGCAATTTGAATGATCGTCAACTATTCCTCTTTGGCATATGGTATATCATGGTTGACATATTAATCTACCAACTGGAAACTTACCCCGTGGGCACCAATATCTACGGGAGACCAGCCACCTCAATGATTGTACCGAATTAGGGCCTAGATTGTTATGGACTTCGAAAAAGAATCGCTTTTATTGGGCTGCATGACATTCCTCCGTATACTCTATCACAATGAAAAACACTATAAGCTAAATAAAGCAAAATTCTAGACACTCAAACACACATGAACACAAGGTATTCGGCAGATGCAAGATCAGCTTGCAACCATCTGACTATGCTCGCCTCTCACCCTGCAGAATGCTGCGACGCAACGAATCCCTCTCCCCGCTCTTGTCGATTAAGGTCCAGAACGGGCCCCCTTCATTTCTCAGTAAAGCAGCCGGTGTATCAAACTCGGCCATCCTCCCTTCTCCCAAGACCATGATTCGGTCAAAGTCCACCACAGTGGACAGTCGGTGAGCAATGACCATGAGAGTAGAGTCACGGAATTCTTGACGAATAGTCTGCTGGATCAGCGCATCCGTGCTCATATCAATGGAAGAAGTTGCCTCGTCCATTATGAGGATCTTCGGGCGGGAGAGCAAAGCCTGAGCTAGACACACTAGTTGACGTTGGCCCTGGGACAGATTCTTGCCCCGCTCGGAGATTGGCGAGGAAAGAGATAATGCAGTGTTACTACAATCATCCTCTGTTCCTTCAAGCTCCGAGCTCTGTTCATCGTCCATAGAGGGTCTGAGATGGACTTTCGCTAAAGCGGCGAGGAGCTCAGAGTCTGTATACTGGTTAAACGGGTCGAGGACCGATCGCAGGGTTCCTGAGAAGATAACCGGGTCCTGTGGGATAATTGCTATCTTCGAGCGGAGAGCGCGGAGTCTCAGCTTAGAAATATCCATTCCATCAATGTGTAAAGATCCGGACCGTGCCTCGAGGAAGCGCAGAAGTGCGAGTGTCAGTGATGATTTGCCAGAGCCAGTACGTCCGACGATGCCGATGTGCTCGTTAGGGTTAATTAAGAAGCTCAACCCACGTAAAACAGGTGGCAAGTCTCGTGCGTATCCAACGACAAGATCATTCGCCTCAATCTCGCCTTTTGAAGGCCATCCAGCTGGAGCATCCATGCCACCTTGGTGCTCTGTCTCGATTTGAGTGTATTCTACAATGCGCTCAACAGCATTGAAGTCCAGCTCGAGCTCAGCGTATTCCGACAATACCCAAGCGACGACCTCAGACATCTGTAAAGCGAAACTGAGAGCAAACCCTGCCACGGACGCATCAACGCCTTTAAGGGTTGCGATCAGTGCTGCTGTCATAGTCACATACTAGATGAGGAAATGCATGTTAGTATTCAACTTGTACGGTGCAATCAAAAGTTTGGGGCAAACAAACCAAAGCTCCGATCATGTTCAGACGGAACATCATCCAACAGTTGAAAAGACGCAAATGCCATAGAGCTTGGCAATGCGCGTCCATCGTGTTATACATGCGATGCATATATTGACCAACTTTGTCAAAAGCTCTGATCGTGACTAGACCGTCAATGATCGATCCAAACTGCTCAAAGATAGGAGACCTAGCATTGCTCTCTATCCTTTTAGCATCTCTAGCCGCTGTGACATAAAGCGAGGCGATATACCAAGACAGAAAGAGCGAAATGAAACCGAAACCCACCATAAGTGGCGAGATAAAAAGTGCCGCGATAATAACACTAAGAAGCATTAAAACACCATGCAGCATATTGGGCAGATCCAGTGCCAGATCAGAATCTAGTGTGCTGAAGTCAGCGCTGAAGCGGTTGAGGATCTGGCCCACGGGTGTTGTATCCAAAAAGCTTAGAGGAGCGTGTAAAACTCTGAGCAAAAATTTCTCGAAGATAGCAAGCGACCCTCGAATTGACGCCATAAAGACAAGTCGGTAGCGAAGAACCTCAGTTAGGATTGACATAAGAAAAAGACCGACGTACACGCCTAGGTACAGCCAGAGACGGGTACCAGCGGACTGTCGACCTGAATGCGCAGAGAGGTCGTTGGACGACTGGATATTCACTTCGATATCTGGCTGTGTGTTTGCAAGATCTCTCGTCCAAACTGACACCCAATATGGGATTGCTAATTCCGCCACAAGGGTAAAGCCGAAGCTCAGTGCAATTGGAATCCAATACAGGTAGCCACCGCAAGCCTGCATATATATGCTATAAATTGACAGTTTCACAGCACCTGTCGCCCGTGTCTCGGCTTCGTAAAAAGCCCTACCTTTGATATCCCTCTCAGATGGATTCTGCTGTGGCACAGCCAGGCTGTTGGATACAGGGACTATATGACCCTGCTGCGCAACAGAGTCAGCAGTATTGACACGTTGGATAGAGTCAGCGTTACTGGAACATAAGTCTGGGCAGTAATTCTCAGGCTTGCCAGCAAAAGAGACACGCCCATTCTCGAGCACTATGTAATACTTCATCTCACTCCAACACAGGCCGGTATGGTGCGTAGCCACGATTCTCGTTCTCCCTTTTGTTAAGCTTCCTGTTAAAGCTTTCTCGAAGAGATGGTGGCCGACGCGAGCATCCACCGCGCTGAAAATATCGTCGAGGACAAGGACTCCAGCATGGCTGTAAAGAGCTCTGGCTAGAGCAACACGCCATTTTTGGCCGCCGCTTAGATTGACACCGTTAGCACCAAGATCGGTTTGGTCACCGTCTTGCATAGAATCCAAGTCATCTTTAAGACAGCATGCGTGCAGAACATCGCGGTATCGTTCCGAATTCAGCGGGAGGCCGAAAAGAATGTTTTCTCGAACGGTTCCATTCTCGATCCAAGGATTCTGCGGAACAAACGCAATTGATTTATCAATTGTCCACTCATTGCTCGGTCCATCATAGGCAAGTGGTGAGTGTCTCTGTGGAAAGACGATCTGTCCATCAAGCAGGTCTGCCTCGCCGATCGTAGCTAATAGCAGTAAGCTCTTTCCTGCACCTGCTGGACCAGAAATCACAGTGAGCTCTCCACGAGGGAATTTTAAATTGATATCGCGCAACTTGAAATCACTAGTTTCCTCTTCCACGATGTTGGAAGGCCAGGAGATCGTTGTCTGCGAAAAGGCAATTGCCTCCCCATCTGTGTGGCAATTATTATGTTCCGGTAACTCAAGGTATTGTTCGATGCGTCGCGCGCTCACCATGGCATTCATTAAGTCACTGATTGTTTCTGGGAAGTTGGAAAGTGTGGCCGATAAGCTTTGAAAAATGGAGAGGGCCGTGAAGGCAACGGAGGGAGATAGAGTCCTGTTGGCCACGAAATAGGTTGCTAGTGAAATCAAGCTCATGCAAAGGGGACCACAAGACCATACGGCAATCAGTGCGAGATTGAACTGGAAAACCCGGTCTTGTCTCTTGATCTCGTTGGAACGTAGAGTCTGCACCTTGCTGTTCCATTGATCTTCTTGGGCATCAAATTTAATCTGGCGAATGCCCTGTAGCATCTCAGATAAGACAGCCATTCTTCGATCGCTTGCTGTCATGAGCGCATCCTCTGCTTTGCTGTATTTCTGGGCCAGAACGTAATTCACCGGAATCAATACCGCTGGGATCGTGCAAGCCCACAGCACCGGCATCCAGCCCAGAATGTTTGTAAGAAAGGCGATAGCAAGAATGAACTGAATGATGGTATCTAGAAGGGTATGACTGAATTTTGCAAAAGTTGCAATTGTCACAGCGTCTACCCCTAGAAGGTTGGTCATGGATTGTTTCGTTTTTGGTGGGCCATCCTCGCCATCTTCATCATCATCATCATCATCATCATCATCACCACCACACTCGCTAGATGATGCTTTACTCTCAGAGCAATCATGTGAGTTCACATTCACAACTTCCTTTATCCTGAGTGCTTTGCTGAAAATAGCTGCAGATAGCTGCTCTCGGATCGGCAATTCTAGCTCCATAGATACCACCCATTGCAGCAACGACTCCAGCCAAGATGATATGAAAAGGGATCCGCCAAGACCGACCGTCGTGATCCACAGTTGTTTCTGATTGTCTGCGTGTGCATCACGCTCTTCGAGCAAACGAAGGGTAAGGAACAACAAAGCTTGAGGCAGGAAATGTGCCACAGCAGTAAGCAGTTGGATGGCGACTTGAACAATCCAGGTTGTCCGGTAAATTTTCAATAATTTCCTCCATAACTTGGGGTGGGTGCAAGAAAGCCAACGATCATACAAGGTTCGTGCGCGCACCTCATACCCTATTGCAGGGAAGTCTTCGGGTTCGAGTTGTTTGTTCCGCGCGGCTTTTGACAAAATGGGCACTGGCCACGAGAATGTGTATCTGCTGAGAAAGGAAACGGTCCGTTGACGATCAACTGGCTTGCTCCCTAAATATACCTCTGGTCGACGGGAAAAAGAAATGTTGGCAAAGGATAGGATGATTCCCGCAGTGGATTTGACAGCAGCCAAGGATATAGTCGACCCTGATGCATTCGGGTTGGTCCACAAACCATCCAGAAAGACTCCTGCGATGCTGAGCAGAAGAGCTGAAATGGTACTCCAGATCCCTAGGTCATACCTCTCTTGCGGTAAGGTGCGAGAGATGACGATACATTCTTGAACGAGCAGCAGAGCCTGGATGTATTAATATACAAATATGGACATGGTAGAGTTCATCATACCCAAGCGGAGAACTGTAGCCATTGTTCGATCCCTGGTGGTGAGCTATCATGGCTTGTCGCATTCAGGGATGACAACAATGCAGTCAACACAGCAACAGCTGCTGTGATGAATAGGATAACTCTCTGGGTAATATCCGAGGTTCCTTTCTCGGACTTATCCGTTGACATTCCATCTTCATCTTCATAGCCACTTACCAGGCCATAACCTTGCCTGTCTGTAGTTGAAAACTGTTTGAAGATGTGGCGAATATGTGGGATGGTCAGCACTAAGATGACGGCTGGGCACAAGACAGCCTCGAAGGAGGCGTCGAGCCAATGGTCCTTCATCACAAATGTAATAGCAAGAAAACGCTTTCCATCACTTCACATGTGGTTAATCAACGGTGATTATAAATGTCGAGTGAGAATCCTGCTGCCTGATTCTGACGGTACGTGCAGGAGCACTCAACATGAGTCTTCATGACTCAACAGGAGGTTCCATGTTGAATGCGAGCAAATTGGCTTTCTTCAGGCCTCCAAGTCCGTGGCAATTATTCGATCAGAATTCAAAACCGTTAGCCGTTGATCTCTTCTACGTGTAATGGCTGACACTCGTCCACCGGATGCAAGTAGCCGTAAGGAGGCAGCTAAGCTTGCGGGAAAGAATCCATCAGACACAACCAACTGAGGAACTTCCTAAAGCGGTTCCCGACAGCCTTGCCTGGACTTTCAGGGTCCACCAGCCAGACTTGAATCCTACCATGTCGATCTGAGGCTGAAGTTTAATTTCTCGCAAATGACGCCAAGAGAAGAAAACAAGATATGACATTAGTTAACATATTTGGATCACAAACTTAAGTTGTGGTTTGTGGAGTATGTCATGTAGGTCCCAAGCAGGGGGTCTCAATGGCGAAATATATCTTCTCCGTATATGGTGCAAATCAGTACCTTTTTGTATGTGTCACTTGGGTTTGGAGAGACACCGTTTCCTTGTCAGCTTAGACTGGGGAGGATAATGAATACCCGAAGGGAATTGCACACTAAATTCTGTTCGTTGACTCTTGGAAGGACAAGTTGTATACCTCTAAATCCATGCGCTCCGTCATTTCTGCGGGTGCCTCACTGGTGCCTTAACTGCCTGGAAAAACGGGTGGATGATGTCAATCAACCATGATGGGTTGAGCCAATTCATCATTACATAATGCAGTTCACCAGAGCAACTAGAACGCTAGTCCCTTTGCGGAAAAGAATCAATAGGCCCTCCGTCAACCCCTAATGAAGCTGTTTTGACGATTACTCTCTCGACTGTGGTATGAAGAATAGAATCAACGTCTCAGGGCGGATTTCGACCTAACAGACAGCAATGGCGTCGACTTTTTCGCCCGCCTTTACAGGCGACCGTACCCCGAAACCGAGAACCAAGACACGCACCGCTGCGCCGAAACGAGTATACGGAAAGCGAAGAGCAGATGCCCCACGAGCTGTGTTCGAACAGCGAAGTCCAGCAAAACCGATAGAGGAGACAACTTCGAGGGCCGTTGATGAAGCTGTGGATCGCATCCAAGCTCGGCTGGCTGAGGTCAAAATAAACGAAGCGACCCCGTCTCAGCAAAAGGAAGACAAAACCGACCAGCCAAAAATCCCCCCTGAGAAGACAGATCTTACTCAAACTGCACCGCCAGTGCATAAACCCGAGGTAGTGTCAATTGAATCGAAATATGACGAAGAGTCTACCGAGGAGTGCCCTCCGGACAACGTCCCGAAACCACGGAAGAAATATGAGACGATGGTGGAAGTTAGAATCTGTTCGAGGACGGCAGCGCCAAAACCACAAGATGAACAAGAAATTCAAGAGCAGCATGAGAATCAAAAAGAACAGGAAGAGGATAAATGCAGTGCAGAAACCGAGAGGCAGGGTGAGAGACGAGCAAGGAGGAACAAAGTCCCGCCTCGTTTGTCATCTGGGTGTGTAATGGATGATAAAGTGAATGCATACGTTCGTCGCATCTTGAACGAGGCCTTATCGCCAGTTGCGGCACAGGGTGTGCAAAAATTCGGCTCCTGGGCCGCTCGTGCTGGAAATTTGCTGGAGGTAGTGAAGATCGCAGAAGGTTCGTACGGAGAGGTCTATAAGCTCCGTCTGCGCGAAGAGATGTGCAAGAAAGAAATGTCTAGATCTAAGCTTGCTCGCCTAAAAGCGTACGGTGACAATGTGTTCAAAGTTGTACCCTTACGAGCTCAGCGTGGGCCTGGTTCGAAGAAGTTTACCAGTATCGAAGAAATCGTGTCCGAAGTCAAGATGCTCAAATATTTGGACCCTATTCCCGGATTTGCTCGCTTTCGGGAGATCCATGTGGTCCAAGGTCGATTCCCAGAGTCTTTTCAGTCTGCTTGGGACCACTACAAGAAGACCAAAGATGATTGCTTGAACCCCAATCCATCCAGCAAAAGGGCGTATCCTGACTCACAATTGTGGGCTATCGTGGAGATGGACGATGCTGGCTGTGAGCTTGAAAAGTTTGCTTGGTCATCAACCTTCCAGATTTACGATATCTTTTGGGGAGTGGCAATGGCTCTCGCGCGAGCCGAGGAGTATGCCCTATTTGAGGTAGGCCTCATTCTAAGAAGCCTTGGAGACTGAATAGTATTGACACGTATCTAGCATCGAGATCTCCATCTCGGAAATGTTTGTATTAGAAGCACCCGGCCAGATGGCTCTATGAACCCCCCGACAGACCTCGAAGTAATGAGTCAGTCACACTCAAGCGGATTTGGCTTGAGCACCCTAGAGACTACAATCATTGATTATTCACTTTCTCGCGCGGAACTACGCGTTGAGGAGTCAGGAGCAGTTGTCGAAGTAGCATCGTCGGATCTCGATAAGAAGCAGATCTTCGATGCTATCGGGCGTGATGAGGATGAAGCCATGCTGAGAGACACTTATAGATAGTGAGTATTGTCCTATAAATTAGGGACTTCAAAAAATACCCGCTAACGCCCAACAGTATGCGTGCTCAGCTCTACAATGGGAACCCCCTCGAGACAGAGAAGACGCCCGATATCCCCGGCATCTGGGCTGAGTATGCGCCACGCACTAACCTCGTCTGGCTTCTCTTTCTGCTTAAGTCTTTGCTCAAGAACAGGAAGCCGGAGGTTTCGCTTCCGGCACCACGACAGCCCCTAGCCCCATGCTCGTCTAATAAGGGACTCAAAAGACAAACAGACAAATCGACAAAGAAGGACAAAATCATTACAGTGAAGAGTGCAGAAGATACGCAGAAACAAGTTTCTCAACTGAAATCCACACTTGAGGATCGACTACATGCCGTCCTGGACCTTCTGCATCTTGAGCGCGGCCATGAGGACATGTGCTGTGCTGCCGACTTGGTAGCCTATGCAATTGACTCTCAGTGGCTGGATGAGAAGGATTTTTTCTGACTTTGATCTGTGCATAATGGAGGCATCAAGCGACTCATCTTTCACTTCTGGCGCTACTGGGGGCATATATAGACGGCTTAGCATGGCGTTTACTGGGAATTTTGATCTTTTCAATACCTATAACATTGATTGCTTTTACGAGGAATATCAAACATAGCCTGATCTCTAGTGCTTCTCGTCAAGATATGACGAAGTCCAAGCATATTCACCCCTCAGAAACCCCCCAACACTGAAGTATGCATGACACCTCATCGGAACAGAAAGCCATCCCGAACCCACGGTACCATCACCGATCTCCTAGAACACCCCCATACATATCCCACCAACCCCGATAAAAAACCACCAACAACAATGACCTCCAAATTCGAAAAGCTATTGATAAAACTGGGCAAACCAAGCTGGGCCCAACACCTCCGTCATGTCCAACACGCGCACGGCCCCCAGAAGAACCAAATCGACCCCGAATGGGCCAAAGACATAATCAAGATGGACACTCACCTGCGGGAAATAGGGCAGCGCGAGATCTACCTGCGCGAGGAGATCAAAGCGCTGACTTCCGACGACCGCCCACCGCTAAGCACCGAGCAACGCGCGCAGCTGGCCAAATGGCGAATGGAGCTGGAGGATCTGGCGAGGAAGTACTGGCATCTGGAGCGGGAGTTTTACCGGCGGGAGGCGTCGGTTCCGCCGGGGCCGTTGCAGAGGGCGTATGTGACCTGGAGGAGCAATCCGGAGTGGTATCTGCTGGGGTATTTGAGAGATGATTGTGCGGGCAGGGGAGGGTGTTGTGGGAGGAGTTGTGGGTGCTGCGAGAGGGAGAGGGATACGGAGAAGAGGATTCGGCTGGGGCATTGTACGGTGGAGTGTGGGTGTTGTCGGAGGGCGAGGGGGTTTGAATTGAACCATGAAGATCGGGTGAGGTATCAGAAGTTGTTTGATTCTGATTTGAAAGAGAATGAGGCGTTGTGGGATTCGTTGAAGTTGGCTTATGTTTTTGGCTTGGTTTTTTAGTTAGGGCTTGGGTTGTTTTGTGTTGTATACCTCGGTGGGACGTAACAACCTGCGACGCAGAGTAATGATGTTATGATTTGAGCACTGCAGATGGGTAGGACTAGCGTTAGTCCTAGTATTTTGTGAATTGGTGTCATGAAACAGACACTGTCTAAAAGCTTGAAGTAGTACTGTGCATTTTATATAGAGTAATGTCCGCTATGAGTGTTGCGTCCCATCCAGGATTCACGGCTCTAGGGTCAGTATTGCTTGTTCCTTGTCGTATTGTGGTGGGAAAATGGCTGTCTAGAACATGTTACAAAAGAAACGAGAGATATGATAATTGGTTCTATTGTTGCAGCTAGATGCGGTAGAGCACATTCTAATATCTATCTGTAGACTGCTAGATGTCATAGCCCGTGACCTGGGTGAACAAGGAAACAGATGCAGGCATTCAAAATCACACACTAGAAAGAAAGAAGCTCAGCAGACTGCCAGCAGTTAAGCCTCCTACCAGCATCAAGCTCATAAATCCACCCGCCGACTCACGATCATCCTCAGAGACCCATTGAGCAGCGCCCATCATGCAGCTGCTTCCAAGATAACCATTGCCAATGCCAAAAAGCAATTGCACAACGAATAAATAGAAGAAATCACTCTTCACGACGGCCTCTCGACCGCGTATGTTACATAGAAGATAAAGGGGGAGGAACCCAATGCGAGCAATTGCCAGGATGAACAGAGCAAAAGGCCGGTGGGTTAATGATAATTGGGGAATAAGGACTAATATCCTTCCAGCCAAGTCTCCTACATTCCAGAACAAGAACGCCAGCGGGATGAAAACAGCCGGTTGGAACAAACGGGAACTACCCTGTGGGTCCCGGACTGATTCGATCTTTGCCGTGAAGACAGGAAACATCATAGTGACAGTGTAACAGAAAAAAAGCGCAAGAGCCATGAGACGAAGCTTTTTGAAAAGACTCCAGAGGCTGACAGACTTGCGACCTGTGTGGTCAGAAGTAGCGTCAGATGAACTCTGCGCGAATTTGGACATGGTGTTCGACCGTCGCCTAACAAGGGAACCGAAAGCAACCAGTGCCGATAGCGATACAAAAGTAGAAGTTATGAAGTACAAGAATGCCGATTTGGACGACTCTTGTGGGATGTTCTGTTCCCCTGTTTGCTCTGGGACAGCCAAAACAGAGAGTATCTGCACGATGCATGGCAGGACACCTGCTAGGCCTTGGCCTGCCATAATAGCTTGAGTATATTCCGGTCTCCCAAAACCAGAGACATAGGCAAATACGCCGATCTGATTCATTCCGGTCGCGCAACTAGTTCCGAATACCATAAGCATCAGGAAGCTAAAATATAATCCAATGGAAGCGTTTTTCAGAAGACCGGTAGATAATGCGAGCAACGTGAAGATCACGATATTGATCAGCAGTGAAACCGTGATCTGTTTCGGGTATGACGTCCATTTCTGCAGCTTCGCGAGAGTGAACGATGAGCCCAAGTTTGTGACGGTCGACACAATGAGAATGGAGGCCTGGTAATGGGCCACAGCCCACTCATCCGAGCTGAAGCGGTGATAGAAATACGGCGCAGCGGCGAGGAACATGTTCCTGTGACACAATCTGGTCAGCATTGAGTATACTCCGGAATAGCCATCTGAGCGCCGGAAATAAGACGTACCATGCCCAGAGCATGGAAACCCCAAGGAGGAAGAATACCCCATATTCAAACCTGGAGAAGCGTGGCTCTGGTAGTGTTTGGGAAGATATCAAGTGGCGATCCTCTCCGTCATGCGGAGGTTGCTCGAGTGGCTCATATTCCGACCGGGGAGAGATCCATCTCCGGAAGCGATTCATTGCTTTCGATTATAGTGTGGTATTAAAATTCACTTTCTGGAAGTAGAAACGATGGGATCAATCAATCCATGATCAACCCGGGAAACCTGGATATAAGGAGAATGTTGGAGGGGAACTGGATCTCCGTAGTACTCTGTATGGAGCGATAACAGGGTCACCTGCCAAGCCTGGCCGTTAGACCGCTGAGCTGATCATCTGATGTATCATATGCATCCTTGACCATTGACGGCCTCTATAAAGTCTAACCATCTTTTTGGCGGGTTTATCATTCAATTCATTTTCTGGAGTACAGAAACCGAAGGTTTTATATAAGAAGGCCCTTCGACGATTATTGTTATGACATATATTGCCCTCTTTGTTGATAGTAAGTGGAGATGCGTATTACTTTTCTCTATCCCACTTGTCTAACTGTTCAATATATAGAAAGACGCATGTCCCATCGGTCCAAAGCAGCAAATCAAAAGGTATAGATACATCCGCGATAGTCGATCATTCCAACCATCCAAGAGGTAAGTGTATAAATAACCGGGTGAACATATAAAAATGAATCTCTACAGTGAATAAGTAACGAACTCGAGAAGAAAATGGACAAGCTACCCATGAACAAGGTAGTCTTGCTAGAATGTCAGTTATTCGCTCTTCTGCTGCTCATCTTGTCTGGAGACAGCTTCCTGCTCTTCTTCCTGCATCTGCCACAATTTTTCTTGGGTCAGAGGGCTGACAGGAGCGTCCGTCGGAGGCTGAGAGACATCGCCACCACTCATTTGCCATTCCATCAACTTTGTGAAAGCACCGTCAGGGCGAGAGCTGAGCTCTTCGTATGAACCCTGTTCGGCTACCTTACCGTCGGGACCGAGGACGATGATAGTGTCGGACCGCTTGATGGTAGAGAGCCTATGGGCAATGCTGATTGTCGTGTTGTTCCCGCGGAGCAAAGCAGCAAGAGCACTGTTCACTAAAGTCTCAGATTCTGCGTCAAGAGCAGAAGTCGCTTCATCGAGAATTAAGATATCAGGGTCTTTAATTAGGGCACGGGCAATAGCAATGCGTTGCTTCTGTCCGCCGGAGAGCTGAGCTCCTCGAGGACCCACTTGAGTATCAAGGCCATCAGGCTGTAGAATGTCAGACACAATCGAAAACTAGATACGCTTAGTCGATACTTACGAAGTCACTAATAAATTGGCAGTTTGCCTTCCTGGCAGCTGCGACAATCGCAGACCTTGTTGCCTGCGGGCTTCCGTATGATATGTTCTCCGCGATAGAGCCCGAGAAAAGAACGGGCTCTTGAGACACAATGCCAATCTTTCTCCGAAGAGATTTAGCATTCATCTCACCAATATCCTTTCCATCGATCAGAACCCGACCCTTAGTGGGAAGATAGAACCGAAGCAAAATGGAAGCAATGGTAGATTTGCCTCCTCCTGAAGGTCCAACGATAGCAACATTAGTTCCTTGAGGAATCTCGAAGTTCAGGTCTGTGAAGATGGGAACAGCAGGCCGTGTTGGGTAGCTAAACGACACATTCTCAAAGCGAATAGGGCCACGAGCAGAGACAACCTTTGTACCCTTGGTTGGAGATATCGTCGGCTTGCGGTCCTGCAATTCGAAAAGCCGGCTAGCTGCTCCAACACCCTTCATGAGTTCGGAGTAGAAACTAGACAGACCAAACATGCTAGAACCTGCGTAGGCTGTATACATCAGGAACGAGGTCAACTCTCCGATACTGATAGCACCAGATCGAACCATTCCTCCTCCTACATAAAGGAGTGCCAAGATCGTCATATTGCCCATAAAACCGGTCTGCGAATAGTTAGATCTCTGAAGTATGTAGATCGGAGTGTAATATACATACGGAACTAAAGAAAGTCGCACTAATCACGGATTCTCTCTTGCCGAGTTCGAAGATCTTCCGCACTTGGTTGTTGTACCTGTTGACCTCAATAACTTCACCCGCAAAAGACTGACTTGTTTTCACATTGCCTAAACGCTCCTCGGCAATTTTTGTCAAGTCTCCTAGGTTCCTTTGAATCTTGCGACTCAAGTTGCGAATCGCCCTTCCATAGAAGAAAGCTCCAAGGCCAATGGGAGGAAGCAATAGAGCCAGAATGCTGGAGAGCTTAAGACTGACATATGCCATCAATCCGAAGCCGGCTGCACCGCTCACTGCTGCCCGCAAGCCATCGGATAAATTCTGCGTAATACTCTTTCCGACAATAATTGTATCCGAGCTAAGTCGAGAGATCAAATCACCAACTCGATTCGCGTCGAAAAACTCTGCATCCTGAATGAATGTCTGACGAAAGAGCTTCGAGCGAAGTCTGGCAACAATGCGTTCACCAACAATGCGCAGAATAATGATGCGACCATAATTTGCTGCAGCGCCCAGAGTGAGGACTCCGGCCAAAGCTCCATAGAACATTGGCAGACTAAGGCCGAAGAGTTCACTGCCCCCTTCAGTAGTAGACTTTGTCGCTGCATCCATGATCTTCCCAATAGAGAAGGGAATCGACATGGTGATGGATGACGAAACCAGCAAAAACAAGAAAGCAAACCCGAGCTTCTTGGCCTCTGGCCGTGCAATGGATAGAAGTCTCCATATTTCTTTAAACCCTGATTTCTTTCCGGATGCACCGTCTTTAGCCAACTTTGCGCTGAGATTGACTTTTGCTGCCTGCGCTGCCCGTTCAGATAGTTCGAAGCCTTTGTCTACCTCTTCATCCTCCTTTTCCTTGCTTGCATTGTTCGCCTGAGAAGTATTCGTCGATTGGGTGGTTGGCTTGGATTCTAGATACCGGTGCGTAGAGGAGAAAAACCGTAAACCGTGAGAGGGGCGTGACTGAGGAAAGACACGTCTAAGGACATCGTTCTGGAGGTAACTCGTAGGGGGCTGGAGACGGCAGTTGCTAGTACTGTTGCACAATGAAGCCGCGACTCCCGAAAACAGCCGGCTTTGGCCACTATAGACTCCAGTTACACATGAATGTGTCTGAACTCCAGGGTACAGCTCTCTGAGAATGCTTCCTCTTGGCTGAACGAACTGCCTCGCGGTGAATACTGGAGTCCAAGCCCCAAGCACCCGGACTCCGCGCATTTCGGAAATGTGAATTGAAGCGGAATCGAACGGCTAACTAGAAGGATGTCATGAGAGAGAATAGGGCGCCATATCCTCATTAGACAAACAAAAATACAGTCGTATTCATGACAATGCAGAAGCCAATGTCCGCTGTGCAAATTAACACGGGTGTCGGAGTATAGTGAGTACTAGTCAGCTGCAGCTGAACACCGCGCGAAACCAGCCCGATAATCGCCGCATCGATGGAGACGCAATCGGCGTTTGTTCTGCCATCCGACACCGCCTGGGGCGGTTCCGCAGCCATCGAAGCTGATCGAGAGCTTTCGATGAGAGCTCGACCTGGACGATACATTTATTTGGAACCTATTTTGTTGAGGTCCTATATAGTCACTGGTAGGATTCTCCGTTAATTGCGATGAGTTAAAAGTGTCTCTGACCGATCTCTCACATATAGTTTAAACCCATTTTTCTCTATTTACTACTTCATCTACTATTTAGTATTACCCCACCTGCAACTATTACCCCTCCTGTCGAGATTTGTTCAAGATGGTGCTCGATTACAGCAAATGGGATGCGCTTGAGCTGTCTGATGATTCAGACATCGAAGTACACCCTAATGTCGACAAGCGCTCCTTCATCCGTGCCAAACAGGCTCAGATTCATCAGCAGCGCATGCAACGCCGCCATGAAATCGAAACTCTCAAGTATGAGCGTATCATTAACGACGGACTTCTATCCCGCATAGACCAACTCCTGAAGTCACTCCAACAGCATGAGGGTTCCTCCAAAAACCCCGAAGAAGTGGTTTTTCAGGTCCTCATGGAGTCGGCAAGCAATCCATCAGAAGATCAGCCCCCTGCCCCACCGGCCGGTGTATACACGCATGAGAAAGAACAGCCAAAGTATTCTCAAATGATGAGCTCACTGGTGGATCAGGTTAAGAAGGAGATGGGCGAAGTTAGCTCCGACAACCTTCTCAAGGAATACATCAAGGGTGTGCAGGGACACAAGGACAAGGTACAGGGCTTGCAGAAAGAATTGCTGGCGAAACTCGCAGAACTGGAGAAGGAAGAAAGCAGCAAAATCACAAGTGATCAGATACATACCGGCTTTGACACATCTTTTGTCGCCAAGAACGACTCTAAGGGCAAAGAAACTGAAGCCAAGAAGGCGGAATCTGTCGAGCTGCTGAACCCTGCCGCGGTATCGGGGTCTTCGTCACAGAAGGCGACCGCTGATGAAGAGGAAGAGGACCCAGAAAACATGAAGGCTAGTGATCTGGCCAAGCGGTTTGCAAAGATCAATCGTAACGATTACCGTACCTTGCTTCAGTTCATCTCTGAGCACCCAGAGCTCGTCGCAGAGAAGGAAACGGATGGCCTGCTAGTCGAAGCATTCAATAGCCAAATGGACGGTAAAGAGGACTATGCTCGTACATGCGTTCACCACGGCCTACTGCTCCAGTATTGCCGCTCCTTGGGCCGTGATGGCATTTCTCTCTTCTTCAAGCGGTATGTTGCCCTTTCTATCTAGGGAGTATGGGGTCATCAGACAGCTAATATGGATTGGCATGCAGTATCACGACGAAAGATCATCAAGCATCAACGCTTTTCCGAAATGATGTCAATGAAACCTACAATAAGATCAAGACCCGTGCAGCAGAGCTCGCTAAGGACGGTTCTGCATCCAACGATCCCGCTGGTGTTGAGCAGATCCAGCTTCATGCAGTTGATCCCAACACTAAGATCACCATCAATATCCCTGCTGCGGAGAGTAGCGAGCCTGTCGAAGTCGAAGCACGCAAGATCTTTGAATCATTTTCGAAGGACTTGCAGCAGGCATTGAGCTCTGAATCTTTAGATGAAGTCAATAAGGTCCTCGGCAAGATGAGTGTAGAGGAGGCAGAAGACGTTGTGGAGAAGCTTGGGCAAAGCGGTATGCTCAGCCTCGAGGAGGGTATTGTGGATGCTACCACAGAAGAAGGTCGGAAGAAGTTGGAAGAGATCGAAGCCGAAAGCAAGAAGGATAATAAGATTGAGGAAGTGGGAGAGCCGGGTGGTGATATTACTGAACTTGACTAAAGATTTTTGCAGGATACTGGCCGACTGCAATGACGTGTATATCTTTCTGCATGTTTCAAAAATAGTGCATTGTCCAATTACTATTCACCTCTAATACATTTTTAATATGCAATGCTTCTTTCTGTACAATGTGACTGGGTTGTACTTTGTAGATATATTAACTAATTACCCAGGCTACTCCTGAGTTGTCTATAGTAAACTCAATCAATATATTCACTTTGAAGTGAGGCTTATTGCTGGTATACTAGCAGTCTATGTACGCTGTACGGAACAAGTTGCATATTATCTACCTACATAAGTTTCAAGAAGTTAAAGTTCCAATAGAAAAACACGGTTGAAAGAAAATAAAGAACAGAACGCAACCGTAACTGAGTATCCGAAGAATAGAACTTGTGTAATGGAGTATCTGGATCGAGAAAAAGAGTGCTATGCACCTGGCAAGGAGGATAGAATAATGAAATCATAATAAATGCATTGTAATGCAAACAAGGTCTAGATGCCACTGGCACCGGGGGCATTCTCATCCTTCTTCAGATCAACCAACAGCTGACGGAAACGCTCCTTGCCAGATCCGCTTGCACCACCCTTGGCACCCTTTCCAGAGACATCAACAAGTTTTGCGATGCGATCCCAGCTGGTACCTCCGGAAGAAGTGTCTTCGCGATTGGCGAGGAATTGTTCGGCATCCGCACGAGTCTGAGCATGCAATTTATCGGTCTTATTGTTATAGGAAACGTAAAAGTCATCGATATCTTCTTGAGCCTTCTTAACAGTCGCTTGCTTCTTTTCTTCAGAAATCTCCGCGCGGCGTGCAATGTCCGCATCTCGTCTTTCGCGCCATTCCCTAGTGGAGTGCCCAAGTTAGCGTCATGGGGAAGGAGAGTACGTCGTCGGCCGATACGCCCAATATACGACAATCGTAGATGGGATCTCTAATACATACCTAACGGGCTCGGATTCCTCCTCCGGAGTTTGGTAGCTTGAGAAGCCCGTGGGCGGGAAAGGAGCGCCGGTTCCAGTGATCATGCCGCCAGGCGCAACTTGCTGTTCACGGAAACACATGTCAATTAAACAGCCTTATATAAAGACAGTAACGCCCACATCCGTACCTCATTCTGTGTCTCAATAGCAGGGAAAGAAGATTCAAATCCGGAGATCTCGGGGGCTGCGCCAGCTGGAGTCTCGTCCGCACCGCCCAGTAAATCGTCATCGCCAGCATTTGCACCGTCGGTGTTAGCGACGTGGTCTTGAGGGGTAGCAAACTGCTCTGCATCGTCACCTAGAACGGCTCGTTCGCGGGCTAGGAAATCATCGGCATCTGTGCCGTTGGTCTCCACGACTTCAGTTTGGCCTAGGAAACGGTTAGTTAGTACATACTTGGAACGGGGGGTTGCATGTGAGATCCTGACCAGCGGAGAAGTCTTCTAGTGAGGGGAATCGGTCTGCCATGATAGCTGTGAGTCTGATAGAGCTGGTTCTGAATGCACAATGAGTTCTTGATCAAAGGAGGTGGTCAGGGGAAGTTGACGGGAATGTGATGGTCCAGCTGGCGTCTAGAAGCGGTACAGATGGGGTGTTGATTGTCTCCCGGGGGAATGATTCTGCCGTTCAAGGCGGTGAGTAAAGCTTAGAAGGTGTAACGGAGCTTCACTGAGTACTTCTTGGTAACAAAACATCTCCACATCCGTCTTAATTCAGCACATATTGCCACTTGGTCGTTGTTCTCATTACTTATGTATTCCATTCACTTGTTTTAATACCCAAGATTGGTACTGTCTGCACCGCAAAACAATCAGTGACTATATTAGGAGTTGTAGCAAGACATCTTTCTCACTGAGCTTCATTTATTACCAAAACAAAGGATCAATTGCTTCATCCCAGTTCCGGTCACAGTTACAGTATGGCCTATACAGACGATGCTGTGAAAGCGAAGCTTTCCGCCCTCAATGAGACGCAGGAGGGTATTGTCACTGTCGCGCAATGGGTTATGTTCCACAGGTAATTAGACAGCTGGCTATAATCGTTGATATTGTTTAACATCTTTGTCTTATACTAGGCGACATGCTGAGCGTACTGCGCAACTTTGGCTACAAAAGCTTCGTGACTCCCCGGCGCCAAAGCGATTAAATTTGATATATCTTGCAAATGGTATAGTGACGGCTTTGCCTAGGATTCGGTTCCGTCTAGGCGCTAATACAGACGTTAGAGGTTGCGCAACAGTCAAAAGCACGACGGAAGGAGGATTTCTTAATAGCATTTTCACCAGTCAGTTTAATCCGCAAATGTTACGGGGATTCAAGCTAATATAATGAAGATCATCGCAGAGGCGACGGCTACTGCGTACAAAGGTGCTTCAAATGATATTCAGCAGAAACTCCGGCGAGTAGTAGAGGTCTGGAGACAACGGGCAATCTTTGAGCCGCCGATTCAGGACGCGGTTGAAGCGCGCGTAGATGGTAAGCTTGTCTCAGCCCAAGCCTAATAGACGCAAACCACTGATTATAGGCAGAAATTGACAAATCACGCTCCATCGGTAAAAAGCCGCCTCTGGGCGGGTCACTCTTCTCGAGCTCGTCTGGTTCAACGCCTTCTGAGCTCCAGCCCCTTGTTCCACTACAAGTGGCTCTATCAAAATCTACGGTCGCCTCAGGTGCATCCGCGACGACAGCCAATGCCGAGTATGACAAGATGCATGACCCCAGTACCCCTTTACCGACACCTCCAGTACATGCCGCACGACTTAGCCAGCTATTGAAGGCACTTGCGAATGCCGAGAGCTCCGTCTCTGAGGTAATAAAATCGCGATTAGCACTCATTGATGGTCTCGAAAAACTTCTTGAGACCAATCGCTCGGCGTTGGCGAAGGAGCAGTCTCTGGCTACTCAGCTATCAGAAAGAAGATCGGAGACTGAGGCGAAGAAACGCGAGGTGGAGGATGGAATCATGAGAGGGCTATCCGCTGAGAATTCGCCAGCCGCCCACCTTGGAGACTCCGAGGGAGATCCCGTCACGCGTCCGGAGGTTGAAGCTCTAACCCCGCCACCCGTGGAAGCTCTTACACCCGTTGGATCGCCAAAACAGGAGCTGCAAGAGATGGATTTTGCTGCACAGAACAATGCTCAATCTCATGAACCGACTGCGGGCTTCTCATTGCCAGGCTTCGGATTTACAGCAGAAGCTGTTCAAAGTAGTCTTCAAGATGACCCAAACGGGCTCCATTCTAAGAAACGCAAGGTCGTTCATGAGGAAGAAGATTATGCTAAGTTTGCCAGTGGTGATTTGGACGCTGATGTCGCCGAGTTATTGCAGCAAGAAAGCAATCTTCCCAAGTGAAGGATCGCGAAAAGCTTAGTTGGTCGATCTTTTTGATATCTTCGTCTCATAGATCCCTGATTGCTTTCTTTCTGGTGACCGTGTCTCTCTGAAATATCAAGAATATGCAGAATAAGCATGATATATCATGTCCCGGTGATTATGCATATACCTTTGTTGTTATACTAGGTTAGTAGCTACTGCTCCGTATCGAATATTTACCTTGCATGTACCTTGTTGTGACATTCTATTGCAACACTCATTTGACTTAAATTATGAATTACTATCATGGTATCTGTTAATGGCTAGAGCTATCGGTGTATGTCCGGATCCATCCATTTGCTTCGTGCAGCAGGAGCCAAGGACGGGCGCCTCTTCCGTCGATAGACAGTTTCGAAGGTTCGGGGAGAGACCACAGGTGGATGTTCGTTCGATGGAGGTTGCTGTGGGGTGTCTGGAGCAGGAGCTGGCGAACTACTAGCATGTCGTTTTGGTTTGACCAGAAGTATGATGAACAATCCTGCGACAATAATAACCAATAATAGAAGGATTTTGCGCTTCGTTGTACGCCGCTGGTAATTAGTGGCCTATAAATAGCACACCTAGTTAGCATCATCTTTGAGACATACAATAATGGCACTAGTAAGGACTTACCACTTTGAGTTCCTTATCAGCAGCTTTAACTTCTGTATTCATTTTCTCAACATTATAGTCTATCCGGTCCAGCATGGTACCTTGGTCGATGACCATTGCTTGAAGTTCGCGGAATATGTCTGATAGCTCAATAATACCTTTGGCGATATCATTGATTTCCCTTTCTCGCTGCATTATGGCGGCGTCATTCTCTCCCCTGAGCCGCTGTGATGTTTGCATCAGAGTTGTCTGCGAAAAGGACTTGTCTGCATCGGATTCCATCAAAGAGGGATCCGTATAAGGATTTTGTACAGGTGTTGGAGATCGTTCAAAAGGGTTCGCTGCACCCTCCAGCCCCCGCAATTCTATCAATAGCACCGTTAGCAGCTTTAACATGTATGAAACGGAAACAGCGGCGACCTCACTCTTTAAGTATGTGCTTTGTTTCTTCCTGAACCGAGCACTTGCCTCTTGAACTCGTGAAGCAAGAGATATTTGAATATTTTTGGCCATAGTTTCATCACCACTACTTACACCACCTTGTTGTTTTGCGTCACGTACCATCAACTCAACCTTCTGGACCGCCTTCTGGCATTCATGGAAGGAGCGCGTGATCTCCTGTGTGAGCCGCTCGATAATGCTTTCATCTTGTTTCCTTACTTCTTCGTCCCCGAACCCTGGTAGAAGGTGTTTCTGGTGTAGCTTATCCAATTGGGCGGACTTCTGCGCAATGTCGGCAAGTAACTCTGTCACCTCTTCCTGCACGTCGACCCACCGCGGGGGAAGCACATCCATCTCGATAATTGCATCGCCATCATCATCTAGTCCTCCTGATTCCGATATAAGTCTGCGGCTTTCCTCTGGTTGTGATAGTGAATCGGAGAAGCCATTGGATGCTCCGATATAGCGAGGTTTCTTGGCCGGATGATGCGCGAATGATTGACGATAGGAGATATATCTGAGCGAAAGAGATGTTAGTTCTTCCGCCAATGACCATACCGAGCGTAGAAAATTTAAAAGAATTCATTACAAATTCGTACGATCGCGCCACATTGTGAAAGGGCGGAGTTCTGGGTTCCCTTGCGGTTATCTTCTCGACGGAGTGTGTCCTTTAGGCAGTCTTGGTCATCGTCGGTCAATGGATTTGGGTAGTCGTTCGCCGCAAGCCTAGACCGAGTATGAGAAAGGGGCGCTCCGGTTCGCAACGGGCGTAGAGTCATAAAAAGCAGTACTGTTCATCCTATAGATACTAACCATCAATACTTCCGTAGCTCGATCTCCGGCGACGGCCCACGTGAAGGGGCAGATGTCTAGTCCTCATCCGGCATAGCGGTATCAGGTCCCGCGGGTGTATCACGTGATACCATACCCGTAACGGTCCTGTAATTGGTGTGGCTCCCCACAAGCATCTCGACCCATGAGGCCTACAGATATTATGTGAGAGGAGTTATGTTAACAAGACATCATGGGCGCATATATGCTGCAGGGAAGAAAAGAAGAGTGGCGTATTTAAAGGTTAATTTTATCTCTAGCACTGATAGAAGGTATATCGAAGACTACTATATTCTGACTGCTCGCTGGGCCATCCATGAATATCTACTCCATATACGAAAACCTCCATGATATGGCGAGTGTCAAATTCAATTCATCCATGGGAGTATGGACTTAATGTCTCGCATGAGGAGCACGGTTCAAACTGCCGCATGCTGTATGTTGTAGGTCATCATTGAATCAGGATGGGGTTCAGGTACCTGAAATTGCCACCACTAAGGATCAGTAACCAACCGAATATTCGTTTGCCTTCAAGCTTTCCTGTATGGATGAATGACGGGGTGCCACGCTGTCTCTAGATGTGTGTAGGTCTACACAGGCATACATATGGCATGGAGGTATCGTTAGAACAGGACACTAATGACAGACTATCTATTTATGATCTTGATAGTAGCGCTAAATTCTTCATCCGTAGGCTACAGCATTCAAGAGGGAGCTGAAGAGAGAGATCGGGCAGTGCTTGCTTGACTTAGCCATTCCTCCTTTTAGAGGGCGCTTGGAGCATCTTATGGCTAGGGCGGGTCACGTTTTGCGACCGCCTTGTGAGGCACTCAGCTCTGTGGTCGGCCGGGCTGGCCATTTATTATGATTGAAGTAAGTTGGGTCGGTTCCCCTTAAACAACGCCCGTCTTCCCAACTTTCCCCCCACTATCAACGCGATCGACTTCTTGAAACCTCCCACCTATTCTCATTTGTATCTTTGTTCCTTTTCTTATTTGTTCACCACTTTTTTTTCATACTCCGTCCATATTCACCATGGTATGTCATTCTTCCTTCCATCGTTGTCAGTCGTGTTCAAAATCCCCCACTTTGCGGGGCAGATCGTCTAGCATTCTGAACGAAATTGCTGACAGCGCATCTTCTAGGCTGATTCTTTGACTGAAGAACAGGTCTCCGAGTACAAGGAGGCCTTCTCCCTATTCGTAAGTCATTATCATCGTTCGCGAAAATCGGTTTTGATTAGCTTTTATTCGAACACAAGCTGACTTGGCTTTTCTTGGGTTCCCAATAGGACAAGGATGGTGATGGTTAGTACAAGTCATTTTATTCAATCTCTCTTCAACTTCGACCAATATCCTTTAGCCGCCATAATTTTACCCAATTTCTGTTCGATCGGTTATAGTCTTGGCGTTGATAAATTGACATGATATGCAGGCCAGATCACCACCAAGGAGTTGGGCACTGTCATGCGCTCTCTGGGCCAAAACCCCTCTGAGTCGGAACTCCAGGACATGATTAACGAGGTTGACGCCGATAACAATGGCACCATTGACTTCCCTGGTACGAGACGGCTTCCGTACGATACACACATGAAATAGTTGTTAATGTTCAATCAGAGTTCCTTACGATGATGGCGAGAAAGATGAAGGATACCGACTCTGAGGAGGAGATCCGGGAGGCTTTCAAGGTTTTCGACCGCGATAACAACGGCTTTATCTCTGCTGCCGAACTGCGCCACGTCATGACCTCTATCGGCGAGAAGCTTACCGATGATGAAGTTGATGAGATGATCCGCGAGGCGGATCAGGATGGTGACGGCCGGATCGACTGTACGTTTTGAGATGCCCTCCCGATCTAGTGCGGCTGTGAAACTGGTGATGCTGACCGATTTTAGACAACGAGTTCGTCCAGCTCATGATGCAAAAATAAGCGCCACCCTTCTGTATATCCCGCCAATTGATAGCGAAAATGAGTGAGAGCCAAGAATTCTATCCATCATGTCTCATTCCCGTTCCTGCCATTGCTTGTAGTCTACTGAGGCCGATATCCGCTGCCGATGACAGTCGGCCAAGCGTACCGTTTTAAGCGTTGTCTTTTTTCGCGGGATGAATGCAGTTGGATGGATTTAGACTGAGCCAAACGAATCGAGATAATGAAGTGGTACCTGGGAAACACTGAATGTCTCCTGTTTGGCATAACCGCTTTTGGCTTGCGATTTCCTTTGCCAATGTTTCTTCGCCCTTCTCTCTTACCTACTATTTACGTTTATCATACAGCCCGTTCGCGTTCTTAACTTTTACTCTTAAGCTCATTGATCCCCGTAGCAGGTTTCACTGCAAATTTTTCTTTTTCTTTTTCCATTTTTTTTTTTTTTTTTTAAAAAAAAAAAAAAAGAAAACCAGAGGCCCTTTGCATATCCCATTATTGCTCTATCGTTTCTCTACGTTTTGCTAGACAGGCTGCTATCTTTGGTACCTTGGAAAGTTGCTAAGTTTTAATGAAAACCATCCACCATGAAGTGAGAGAGCTCAAGTAAAGACCATTAATTATGCGTAATCTGCAACGTTCTGCACCCTTTAGCGATTGAATCTAAAAATTTCCATGAATTGCCTCGCCACGTCAACTCCAGCTTCCGGGTCGGGATCTTCATCCTGCTGCCCGCTTCCCACGATACTGGTAGATGGTTGGCGCGCTTTCTGGTCCCCTAGCTGCTTCAACTTTCGCAACTGCTCTTTGGATTCCCTGCCGATATCCTGTACCAGAATCGCTTCCCGCGCCCCTTGAATGCCCAAGCGCGCCCAGAACTCTCGAATCAAAGTTGCAGTCGCAGCATACTCAGCATCAATATCTGCCTCCTCGAGACCTTCAGGAAACGCCATGTCAATCCCAGAGTCACCGTCATCATCGGGTACGCCGCTATCTCTAGGTCCGCCAAACGCCTTTTTGGACTGGCTAAATAGCGACGCGATGGACGTCACTAAAGACGGACCTTTCCATTCTATCTCTACAACCGTACCCCTGACCCTTGCAGCCGGCTGCGTCTGTCGTACATCACCAATTCGGACCCGAAAATCACCAACATCATAGACGACACCACCAGGAACCGTAACAGTGTGTCGATGGCACCAGAATGGTTGGCAGGCGTAAACAAAGTGCTGAAAGAGTGTACTGCACGCCGGCAATGGAACAGTCGTCATGACCATTGACGAATGATCTTGACTGTTCGGGGCTGGAGCCTGTGTAGGTGTCGCGGTCTGTTGTGGGATTGGGGTTGAAGAGGCGGGACTCGGTGCCCCTGGAGCTACTGTGCCGGGAGTACCAGCGCCATGTTGAGTGTGAGGCACCTTTTCTGGTGGCGGAGATGTATAAATGAACCCATGGTTTGGAAAATAGGTCAGCGAGAGGAACTGCATGTACCTCGGCTGTGTGGGACGCTGGGACGCAGATGCAGGCAAGCAGGATGGGGTGTCCCGCATCAGTTTGTGCTCTAGGGCCCAGCGGCCCACGGGAATAGGTTCATCGGCTAATGATGAATGAAGACGCTCTGTAACTGTAGCGAACGCCGTGGAGGCGTTGGGGTTTGATGGGATGAAGAAGACCCTGTTGCTGTCAGTGGATGTGCGATTCTGCGAATGGAAGTGGCATCCATTACCCAGTGATTGGCATCTTGATGAAAATTCAGAGCGATGATAGACCTTTCCAGAAAGAGTATGACTCTTCTATCCAGATATCTGGGTATATCCAGTATCCAAACAGACGATTGGTAGAAAAGGGAAACCAGGGGGTATCTAAAGCCTAAGAAACAAGATGTAAGGAGCGGCAATGTAATAATAGAGTCTACGCTCGCCCAATACAACTATTCAACAGCTACCACAGTACATAATAGATCCAGTCGCATGTGAAGGTCTAGCACTGTTAGTGACTATGGCAAAATGACTGAAGCTTGACGGTTTGGTTCCATACCTACTCGATAGAGGCAATATATCAGATATCAGCTGTCATTCAGACTTAATGAGTGCTAGTAAAGTGATATCGTCCGAGTAGACTTGAACCACACCAATAGACAATGATATAGCCTATCCAGTAACACTTCCGTATGTATCAATCTCGGGAGCAAACTGTGGTTGCCCGAGGCATCCAATGCAAACAGGGCAAACGCTCTGCCAAGGGGTACACACGACCACCCACCCCAAACCATGGTTGAGCGCCACTAACTTACGATTCCATCTCCACCTTGGAAAAACAACTTTATCCAAAAATCCACCGATGTTTCAAGTGTCAACCTGGATATTTCTCGCGTATTTATTGATCTTGTCTGGTACCACTACATCGATATTCTCTCACGTCGCATTCCTAATTATCAAAGTACCTTCTCTGCGTCCAGAGCCAAGACACGGCATGCAGATGTGCTGAGACAGTGGAGCACAGGGGGCACTTTGGAGGCGGGATGTCATGTCAAGAATAGCACATTTGGCTGGGCTAAGCCTTCTCCTTCCAGGGCCCTAAGGCTCTAAGGGTCCCAGGGACCACTTTGATTACGCAATGCCCAGTATATCATTTTCTGTTTAACTCTCTAAGGCAGGAAAATGCAGCCACACCTTTCGCCTAGGCTCCTCTTCTCGATCAACATGCCAATCATTGCCTAGATGTTTGATAATGGAAAGCAGCAACATTCCTGATTAATCGCCTCCATGCTCACCTGCCAATCAAGGCGAAAGGACAGGTCGAACCAACGGCGATCACTGGGGCTGAATTACTATGGAGGACTGTGTACTCCAACTGCCCATATTAACCCAGAATTAATGTCTGGGGTGCTTTGTTCGCCCCCTTGATGGATGCTCTAGACTTTTCCTGACTTGGAGATTTTGATTGAGTCTCTTCTTTCCCTCTCCAGCATTAGATGCTACTCTAACCTCTGAGCATGCTGTATCTACATTCCTTCATGTTGTTTCTTTCGTTTTCAACCTAATCTCGAGCTGCAAAAAGCTCACTAGCATTCCCTCGCCCATTGTCCTTCCTTCCAATTTCTTAACTAAGGCCACTTTTGTGGTTATTCTCTCTCTCTTTACACTATGCTTTGCGTTCGAAAAAGCTATTTTCTTCCAACATTTGTCTTAGTCTTCCTTACGTATATCCTTTTCTCTAGTCTACCGCCAGGCGCGGAAATACCGTACATTGACGACCCCGCAGAATATGGACCTCCTCCAAGGCCTCCTCGAAAAGGCAACGACTTAATTCATTATAGAAATCCCACTGAGCAACACCCTGTGGAAGAATATATCCCCCTTCCAACAGCTGCCCCATCTCCCATTCCCCGCGTCCAATATGAATTTCCGGCGGAATCATGGTTGACTCGCAGAAGAAGGGTGAAGAAGCAGAACGCTGTGCGGAATGCCTTCAAACACGCATGGAAAGGATACAAGAAACATGCATGGCTACGGGATGAGCTGTCGCCCCTCAGTGCTGAATACCGAGAATCATTTGGTGGATGGGCAGCTACCCTGGTTGATTCTCTCGATTCACTTGTCATCATGGGGTTGACGGACGAATTCGAAGATGCGTTGCAAGCAATTGAACAGATTGATTTTTCGACCACTGGTGCCACGCAAATCAATGTTTTCGAGACGAATATCCGATACCTAGGAGGCTTTCTGGGAGCTTACGATTTAACTAACGGAAGTTACCCCATACTTTTGAAGAAAGCAGTAGAGGTTGCCGATCTGATATATGGCTCATTTGATACTCGCAATAGAATGCCCCAGTCTCGTTGGGAGTGGACGCGGTGAGATAGAGCCTTTGTTGAAGTGGTCAAAAATGCCATGTTAGCGTTACAAAACAGTGCTAACAATTCACTAGGTCGGCTCTAGGAATGGGCATCCAGCCCAGCCGCAACACCATTCTTGCCGAGCTGGGTTCCCTAAATCTAGAATTCACCCGAATGACGCAGTTGACCAAGGACCCAAAGTATTTCGACGCGATTCAAAGGATTGCCGATAAGCTGGAATCCGCACAATTGCACACCCAAGTACCCGGTTTGTGGCCTATGATGGTCGATGCACATGATATGGAATTCAACGATCCTCGATTCACTGTCGGTGGAATGGCCGACTCCACTTATGAGTATCTTCCAAAGGAGCATATATTGTTGGGGGCGCAGACGAATCAATACCGGAAAATGTACGACGCGGCGATGAACTCTATTAAGAAGCGGCTGCTTTTCCGGGGCATGACCAAGGATGGGAAGGACATCATGTTCGCAGGCAATATCCGTGGTACTTCTAAAACCGTCATTGAACCTCAGTTTGAACACCTGAAGTGCTTTCTCGGAGGGACTGTAGGCATAGGAGCCAAGGTGTTTGACCGCCCCGAGGAATTATCGATCGCGCGCAAATTGACCGACGGTTGTATTTGGGCATATGATATTATGCCGACAGGGATCATGCCCGAGGCGCTATATGTCAGTCCCTGCAAGAATATGGATGACTGCGAGTGGGATGAGCAGAAATGGCACACTGATATTCTTCGTCGTTTCGCCAAATACTCCCAAGGGGAAGAAGCCGCCCAGAAAATCATCAGCAGCAATAAACTGCCACCAGGCGTGACTGAGATTCCAGATGCAAGGTATAACTTGAGGTATGTCAGCTATTCGTCTACCCAGCATATTGTTCTTGATGGATATTGATGGATAACCTAGACCGGAGGCTATTGAATCTGTTTTCATTATGTACCGTATCACGGGAGACAAGGAACTGCAAGATGCTGCATGGCGGATGTTCCGTAGCATTGAGAAGATGACCCTGACTCGCTACGCGCATGCAGCTATCTCGGATGTGCGAAACCCCGAGTCGTCACAGCTGGACTATATGGAAAGTTTCTGGCTTGCAGAGACGCTCAAGTACTTCTACCTTATTTTCTCTGAACCGGACGTCGTCAACTTGGACGAATACGTACTGTATGTATTCACAATATCCCCATGACCGCTTAAGGTTATTTAAACAGAAGTTACTAATTGCAATCGCATAGGAACACCGAGGCACACCCATTCAGACGTCCAACTGCGTGAACATGATGCGGTAGCCTTTTTGCCTTCATTCCTTATTTCTCTTATATTTGGTTAGATAAAGGGTTCTTCGGCGCACAGGAGTTACACGGAGGTATAAATTAGCAGGACTAAATTCCATCTACGGATATACCTATCATAAGAGAAGATTATAATAAAGACATTAGATACACAGAAGTATTCCAATACCGCGTCTAACTCCTTCTATCGTACTCAATCGTATACTGTACATCCTTCCGAATAAACATCCTCCCTCCACTACACTCAGCAGCATCCGATCCATCCATCTCCACAAGCTCGATAGACGAATCCATAGGGCCGGCCTTTTGCGCACCACTCTCGTCACTTCCCAGCCTTTCATGAGTCTTCGACCATGTTCCCGACCGAGACACACGCCATCTCTCTCTCCCATCCACCACCGAAGGCAAACCCCTAGTCCCTGATTTCGACGATGAAGAATGATCCTTTGGCGTCCTCGACGTAGACCCACTCTCCAAATTCGAATCCCCTGCCGTCCCATAATTCGTACTGACAGCCGCCATGAACGGCCGAAGACAAAACACGCTACACGCGACGAGAGCATAGTGCAGCTCAACCTGGGCCCATATAATCGGTTCGACGGCAGCGAGAGTAGGATCCTGTGATGCGATAGTTTGATTTAGGGCACAGAGATGCAGTATAGAGAAGATGACGAGTCTAGACACACGTCAGCTAGCTATAAAGTAATTGGAAATAGGAGATAATCCTCACGGTAGGCGAAAGAAGAAGGCAAAGCCTATGGGTAGTTTGCGCTTAAGAGGCATAAATAGACCGGCTAGGAGGGTGGCTGCGACTGCGAACAGGAGAACTTCCGTTAGGATGTCCATTGCGACGATGAATTGCCAGCGTTTTAGCTGTATGGGTTTCTGTTAGCTGGTTTGGTGGTAATTGAGGGTCTAGAGGGTATAACCGGTGAACTTACCAGATTCACGCATTGTGCTCCGGCGCCTTTCCAGGGCCTATTTAGCTCGCAGTTGATTGCGATAATGGATACTGATGTGATTATCCATGCTGTGCAGAGAGCGAGTGTGGCCCAGGAGATCCGGTTATGGAGTTTCTGGGGTGTGAGGCGGAGGTGGATGCCCACTACACAACATTTGGAGACGTAGACGGTGATCAAGTAGAGGATATCGCTGACTGTGACAAGCTATAGGCTGCTTCGTTAGGAGGTTGGGTTTCTGATATGTTTGGGAATTAGGGCACGTGCTGTCTGAATGTTGTCTACTTGGTAGTGCTGGAGTAGATCAATAGCCGTTCCAAATCCGTGAGACACAGCGCCGAACAGGAGCGAGGTTTGGACAACTGCGAAAATCTATTATTGTCAGAGATGTTTTACCAGTTCTTGCCATCTTTTGATTCGAATTAAGTTAGCCCGACGGATGGTCAGAGCTTACCGTTGCTCCTAGCAGGACAAAGTCGTCATATGCGAACGGCGGACTGAGCACCAGTCGCACATAAAGACGAATCAGTAAACTGACTAGCGAGACAACTAGTCCCAAAGCACCGGTGATAATTATCCAAGCTCCATGATGGGAGCCGTCTACCACCTGAAAAGGAGGTGAATAGCCTGGGGGTATGTACACGCCCATGACGGCTGAGGACCTGAGGTGACCCCAGCCGATGGAACAGGATAAATAAAATAGACTCGCCTATACACCGTCATTTCGCTTACGGCGCCATGATGACAGGAATGAGGCTTTTTCTTAACCACTCCTTTTTTGCTTTTTACTGCTTTCCTCGGTTATGCGTTCTGGCCAGCCTTAGGGCCAACCAGGCGTCAGAGCCAGGGTGGGATATGTGATGACCCGCGAAAAAGCATCGTGCCTAACAGCTGACATGGTTACCCTCGTCGATCACCCGCAGAAATTGCGATTGGGCTTCGCCGCTCGAATCAGATCTACAGAATCAAACGGGGGTTCTGGCAAGCTCAGACAGTCAATCCTTGAAAATATCAGCACAAACCTTAGCCAAGACCGACCCTTGTCTCCCTATTTCCTTTTGAGTTCGGGGGTGCCGACTAGGTTCCGGAGAGCGACACTGTCTTGAAATTGATGTCAGGAGGAAAGAGACTGTTTGGCGAAGTATGGTATGTAAGGCTTTGCTCGTGGAGGATCGTTTCAGTGTGGTCCAGGCTCCCACTTAAGCTCAGTCAAGGGGGCTTTCCGTGCACGATCAGCGCCACTGGCTCCATATTAAGCGGTAAAGCTCGTGATCGATGTTTTGGCTTTCCACTGTGTCAATAGTCGACGCACGCAAACACCCAAAATAGCCAATCTTTGATTAATAACAATCCCGACGGTCACACATGAGCTGACACCCGACATGCAACTTTGGGCGTGGGGGGAAATTAGCATTTATTCTCTCCGAAAAGCTCGTCAGCAGGTTCTATTCTGAACAACGCTGGGCTCCGGATGATATTCGGCGGCATACTTCTGTGGATAGCTGTTCACAAGAGAAGGGGCTGACAATCTTTGAAACACATACTCGAGGGGTCAAACGCAGACACATGTAAGGCGCCCGCAAAATGCGAAATTGACTTGGAAATGATAGTCGGCACCCAACGATCAACATGCCACAACATGGCGCGCGATGACGAGCTCATACATTCCGCCTTTTTCTTTTGAATCTTGCTGTCCCACATGGCTGGAACTATGTCTTTCATATTGGTCCGCAAACTCGAGAATATTGCTCTAGCCTCGTTTGGCGAAAACAATTGCTACCCCTCGCACGCAGCGGAATTTACCCCTACTACGACAGAATCTCCTCCATTACTCCTGAATGATCCTCATGTACTAACTGGACCTACATACTATCGGCAAATCTAGAGGTGTTTGCGCCATGGTGCATGCTGCTGATCTTAAACATGAAGTTGAGGCATTCAACATCTCCGAGGCTGGATATGCCTCCAAAGGCCTTGTTGAGCCCAAGTATATGGGTACCATAGCAGATCAGAGAGATATGAATGTATTAGGCCGAGCCCAAGTTCTGCGGGTGAGTCTGCCCATGTCGATCCATGTATAGTACTGACACCGTTAGCTTAGAGGAATTTCCGGTTTGTTTCGATTGTTGGATTCGGTTGCACATTAATATCTACGTGGGAAGTCATCCTAACGTATGTTTCCCTGGTCTTTCTGGCATTGTTTAGACAACTAATTGCTGGCCAGGTTGTTGAGTGCCGGCTTAACCGACGGTGGGACTGCTGGCTTGATATGGGGCTTTATTATTGTTTCGTTAGGGTTCGCCCTTGTATTTGCCAGCATAGCTGAGATGGCGTCAATGTATGCTCTATGGTCGCTTCATCACTATTCATGGGGCTCAAGCTGACTTCTTCTGACAGGGCCCCGACATCTGGGGGTCAGTATCATTGGGTATCCGAGTTCGCCCCTCGCAAATACCAGAAGTTCCTAAGTTATATTACTGGTACTCGATGTCAAGACCCATCCTCAGTTGATCAAGTAACTGACAACATTAGGCTGGCTCTGCGCAATGGGATGGCAGTGCGCTATTGTATCCATTGCATTTCTTGCTGGCACCGTCATCCAAGGCCTGATTGTGCTCAACGATTCGACGTATGATTTTCAACGCTGGCACGGCACCCTATTTGTAGTAGCTATTACGACATTTTCTATTCTTTTTAATACCTTTCTAGCTAAGAACTTGCCCGTGGTAGAAGGTTTGATTTTGATCCTTCATGTCATCGGGCTGTTTGCGATTATCATCCCTTTGTGGGTGCTTGCTCCCCGCAACAACCCCAAAGCTGTTTTTACTGAATTCAACAATGGGGGAGGATGGAATAGCCCCGGTACTGCGACACTGGTCGGCCTGTCGACTGCCATTACCTCTATGATCGGATATGATTGCTCTGTGCATATGTGTAAGTGGTAACTCTTCCTTTGTATATACAAAGTAGCTAAGCTACAGGAACAGCCGAAGAGATTAAGGACGCGTCAAGCACATTGCCCAAAGCAATGATGACCTCTATGGGTGTCAATGGTATTTTGGGCCTCATTATGATTATTACGCTTTGTTTTACGATGGGCGATGTTAATAGTATCCTTGCCACCCCGACTGGATTTCCGTTCATACAAATATTCTACAACACTACCAATAGTTATACAGCAGCGAATACAATGACCGCAATCTTGATAGTGACATTGACGGCCAGTACAATCACGGAGGTGGCAACAGCATCCCGGCAGCTGTGGTCTTTTGCGAGAGATGGAGGGCTTCCCTTCTCATCCTTCTTCTCCTACGTATGTTGCCAACAACAAGATAACTGGATGTCATTCCATTGAGCCAGAGTATGATGTGCTGACAGAGTGAATTCGAAATAGGTCACACCGGGATGGCATATCCCACTGAATTCGGTGATGGTCTCTCTTGCAGTGACTATTCTCCTCTCTTTGATCAATATCGGCTCCACTGTCGCTCTTCAGGCCATAGTGTCCCTTACTATTGCCTCTTTGATGTCTGCCTACATTCTTTCTATTGGCTGCGTCATTCTCAAACGAATCCAAGGCGAGCCGCTTCCGCCGCGGAGATGGTCTCTCGGCTCTTTCGGTATGGCCATCAATATTGCATCTTTGCTATTTCTATTCCCAATCTTCGTCTTTTCTTTCTTCCCCCTCAGTGCATCTGTTGATAGTAAGACGATGAATTGGAGTGCGGTTATGTATGTGGGAGTGATCGGCTCTGCGTCAGTCTATTATATGCTTCGAGGGAAGTATCAGTTTATTGCTCCAGTGGCGCTCGTCAATAGGGGGGATTGACCTGGATGGCCTTGGCTATTGTTGGCTTGTCAGCAAATTATACGATATCCTACAGCAGGGATATCTTGATGTACAGTATTCTCAATGTTAATAAAATCTCTCCATGAATTGTGGGATTGTGAATATGTTCTATTGAATCTTGTCTACGATCTCTTCCCCTATTGTAAAACAGGTAATACCACTGTCTGATTCCCAGAACTCGTATTATATCATCCAGCCCACAGCTTCTGTCCAGTCCAATCCACTTTCTATCTTTAACCTCCCCTGCCTCTTCATTGTGAAGCCTACCAATTGGGATCCATGAGTCTTGGAACATATTGGACCCTAGTAGTGATCCCCAATACTGCAACGTTA